ATGGAAGGAAGGAACCTCATGAAGTTCAACAAGGCCAAGTGCAAGAGCTTGGATGTGGGCTGGGCTAATTCAGGCAAAGGCTGCCCTGAGAGAGAATGAGAACTGGAAAAACTCCATGACTGTTAAGTGTTCAAGGCCAGGACGGATAGGCTTTGAGCAACCTGGTCTATGGAAGGTGCCCCTACCCACGGCAGGGAGTTGGAAACAGATGATCTTTAATGTCCCTTCCAACCCAAACCATTCTGATTTTTTGACAAATATCCCACATGGTACAAAGGGTGCACAGACCTCTCCAAATCCAGCTAAGTGGTGCTAAACTGCATTCTGAAGTAGATTTTACATACACACAAATAATTTAACTGCCATATTTTGAGTGCTATAATTTGACAATACATTTCTTTCTCCCCTCACCACCACATGACAAAACCTGTCATGTCACTGTAATTGTAGTAATGCACGTCCTAAATATTTTTAATAATCTTAAACCTTGTATTTCTCACTTTAAAATGTCACTACTGTGTTTTCCATTTTCCTCATACTGTGAACAGGTTTCTTATTTGTTCCCTCCCATAAGCTATCTACAGTTGCCAGCTCCCCAAATACCTGGCACTTTGCAACTAAATCACTGCAAATCACTTCATCATTTTAAAACTTACCTTGCTCTTTCTTTTGTTTTCCAGTTTCTTACTCATTTTTCTTGCTGGAGACAAAGTGCACTAAGTATGCTATGAAAAAAAAACAACAAAACTGTGCTTCTCTTGGAGCTTGTACAGTTCTTCAGAAGTGCGGTTAAAAGCAAAACCTCTAGCAAAGTTTTTCCCTTACTCTTTGAGCAGAAACAGAGGAACACAGATTTTTTTCACATGAAGGTTTCCTTCAGGTAGTATTTCCGATTTCTCCATTTACATAAAAAAACCTTAATTGGTGAAAAGGATTAAAAACATAACTACATTCAAATGATACTTTGAAGACAAGCTTATCAAGTAGAACACAGTAGATCACTGGTGGACCTTGCTCCTGCAACGTCATCTTGTTCCCTATGCACAACCGTATCTCATGTACAGGTTTTGGCTGGGGTAGAGTTCATTTCCTTCACAGGAGCTGGCAGGGGCATGTGTTTGGGATTTGTGCTGAAAAGTGTTGATAACATAGGGATGTTTTCACTATTGTTGAGTAGGAATTACACTTTGCTACCTCCCACCCCACCTGTGAGGAGGCTGGGAATGCACAAGGAGTTGGGAGGGGCACAGCCAGGAGAGCTGACCTCAAGATACCACAGGGATATATCCCAGACCAAATGGAGTCATGCTCAGTACATAAACTGGGAGAAGAAGAAGGAAGGAATGGAGGTTCAGAGTGATGGTGTTTATCTTCCCATGCCACTGTTCCACATGATGGAGTCCTGCTTTCCTGGAGATGGCTGAACACCTGCCTTCCCATGGAACATGGTAAAAGAATTCTTTGGTTTGCTTTGCTTGCACGTGCAGCTTTTGCTTTACCTACTAAACTGTCTGTGTCTCAACAGACAGGTTTTCTCACTTTTACCCTTCTGATTGTCTGCCCCATCCCACCAGGGATGAGTGAGCAAGTGTTTGTGTAGTGCTTAGTTGCCAGCTGGGGTTAAACCATAACTCTTGGCCATTTTAAAACCATGCAGATGGTTTTCAAAACTGGCAAATGCACCTACATTTACACATTAAATGGATTTACACATTAAATGGTAACTGTTAATGATCAACCAGTGATTTCTTCTCAACTTTGCTCCAAAACCTTGGCTTCTGCCAAAGATAGTGGAGGCTGTATCAGTGATTCACTGGCCATATATATCACTCAACCAGGAAATTCCATCACTGCCAAGTTTAACAAAGGGAATGTAATTACATATTAACTATTAACTAAAGTCTCATTTCAGAGAATGCTACAAAATTGCTGGGGACTCAAAACAAGTTTTCTTACATGTTGACAGAAAACTCAGCAGAACGGGAACCTGGGTGAGTTCTTTTATGAGCTCCCAAAAGTTTTCTGTTTGTTTCTTTCTTTTGTGGGGAAAAAAAATAGCATTCTAATCTATGTATCAGGCAGGAAGAGTAAAACATTGTGAATCTGAAAATACGGAATCTGTGGCTAAGTGCTCTTTAAGCCCATTACCTTTATCCTTTGCACCAAACCTAAGAATCCAGAGATCATATTTTTTTGACTGATGAAAATTTGGTTTGATGAATACTACAGAAATCACATATTGAGTAAAAATATTCAGCATTCTGGAAATTCAGGCCCTCATTGAGCTAAATGTTAACACCAGCATTTCTTGTAAAATGAAGACTTCAACTCTGCTCAGTAGAGCATTAGTTTTATGTTGACGTAACAGTCACTAAGCCAAACTCTGCCTGCCAGCACAGAAATTTGATACAAGCTGCCTGAACTGAATCCCGTTTTCACACAGCACACACACTGTGTTCATTGTATAGATCACAGTATAGACAGATCCCAGCAGCCACATTCAGACTCTGGGAGCAAGGAGCCATTCAGTTTCCAATCTCAGTTCAAGTGCCCACCCCTCCAAAAGCACACAGGAGTGCAACGCCATGGACCAAAGGACTGCTGGAATGCAGTTCCTGCAGATGTATCAAGCCAACGAAGGAGCTTGACTTAAGATGCTGAGACTGAACACTGTATCCAGCTGGGGTTCAGTTGCAGCTTACATGTATGCTATTTATGAATTACGAGTCAAGTCTGGGTGCTCAAGGCAACACAGTGTCAAACACCTCAGTCAAGGTGACCTACTTGGAGTACAGTAACACAAACTAGATCCTACAGGGAAAATCAGTCTGTAGACACTGCAGCATGCTAGTAATTACAAATAAAATGAGACAGCTGAACAGCACTGAAGCAGTATAAATGTAAGACAAGGTTCAGAAATCCAGTGGCAAAATCCTGAACTCCTAACCATCTGACATTATCATGCCAGATCCTAAGAAATACAGATGTTAAGAATCTCTCCTCCCCTCTAGAGACATCCTCCATTGATGTGCAGCCTCCTGAGTTCCAGCAAAGACACTTGGCCTGCACAAGCAGCGTGAATATGGCAGGAACTGAAGTAACCGGTGAAGAACAAGCCCAGGCAGCAAGCAATTCAAGAACAATACGGGAGGAATACTGTGTCTAGCAAGCCCGTCCCAAAGATAAGTACGTGTTGTGCTCCCTTAACACTGCCAAATCCGGAACTGTTTTAAGGGGACCCGTGACTTGAATTCCACAGGTACTTGGCTCAGATGATCCCTGCCTTTCTCTTGCTATTGCAAACAATAGCGTCACCAGAATAAGGAATTAGGCTGTGTAGGCAGCCTGTAGGATTGCTGGAGGCAGTTACTCCTAGCAATACATTGCCCTAAAGAAAGCAAATTTATACTTACTAGAACCAGTCTTTCCCCAACCCAGTATTTTTGCTACACATACTATTTCTACCAATCAGAAAATGATACATCCCAAACCAATCCTTATCTAACCATTCTTATCTACCAGAACTGTGATTTTCAATCACAAGTTCTTCTCACAATGCCCAACAATGTACAAGGGAATCATGAACTACAGTTTCCAAAGGGAGAGACTATTGTAAATCACTTTCTCTACAACTGTCACCTCCCTCGAACTCACCCTGAAGCCTGCAGCTCAACTCAGTGAGCACACTGATAAGTGCAGTGCCTATGAGAGAGGCAGCCCCACAGATTTCGAGAAAAGCAGTCCATTACCTAATGTTAATTCTAAGACCCACTTTGTCATTCTGCACATATGGTCTTTGAAAAGCAAAGGTTGTCTTAGATCCCAATCCTCCTGTGTAGAGACCACCATGAAAAATAAAATTTCCCACTGTGGTGCTCACTCAGTTTTAGAAAGGTTTGTTGCATACGTTCTTTAAGTCACATATAACACACCCCTCTTTTGCTCAAAGCTGTGTCAGTTTTCTCCACCCAATGATTACTTTAAAATATTTTATCTGGAATCCAAATCTTCCTCCCTCTGGTTTAAAACATAGTTTATAGGATTTAATAAAACAGAACAACTTCGGGTACCTTTTGATATTTATCTTTTACCTTTTGGTTTATTCCACGATATGCATTATTACATTTGTTATCTCTCTACCTCTGAGTTTCTGCTTAATCCACAAGTGCTGTACTGTTAGAGCGTTTCTCAATTCAAAAATTTGGTATAAAATTATGATAACCATGCAAACGCTTGTAAAATGTGCATTTCTGTGAACTTTACATCCAGCACCGCATCACACATAGTGAGCATCTTCTCAGCTGAGCACCAGCAAGGGAGTCACAACCTCAGCAGCACTGACACCGCTCTGGCCAGATCCGTGCCCCTTCCCAACTTCACACACGGCCGCTTCCCCACAGCAACTTCAACTTCACCCTCTCCTCCCTCTTGCCCAAACCGCTCCGTTTCCAGACATTTCTCTCGGTGTGTCTCTTCAATCCCACCCTTTCCCTCCCCAGCCCTGCTTCCCGCCCCATTCACTAAGCCCAAACGCCTCCGGCCCCCAGGCCTTCCTCGGGCTCCCCCTCACGCAGAGCCCCGCACAGCTCCCGGCGGGGCGGCCCCGGCCGGGCTCTGCTCCCACCTGCCCGCCCGCCCGCCCGCCCGGCGGCCCCGCTCACCGCCGGCCCAGCTCGGCTCGCTCCGGCTCCCGGTGCTTCCGGGAGCTGCAGTCCCGTCCCGCAAAGGCTCCGGCTGCAGCCGAGCCCCGCCCGCTCCGTTCCCAGCACCGCGGCTGCAGCGAGAGCCGGCAGCGGCCGGGCGGGCTCGGGGCCGGGGCCTGGGCAGGGCCTGGCGGGGCCGCCGCATGAGGGGCAGCGGAGCGGGGCACGGGCGGCTCCCGGAGCCTGCAGTCCCTGCGGCACGGGCAGCGGCACGGGCCGTGTTCCGCCCAAACCACGAACGGGAAACTTCGGCAGCCACTGACACAAGCGTTTGTGTGAAACCCATCACAAATTTATTAGAGAATGGCAGGGCTGGTTCAAATTAAGGTACGGACCTCTCAAACAGAACGTTACTGCGCTGTCCGAAGAAACAAATTGTCAAAACAGAATTTGAAGATTGTATAAATGCATAACTTTGTGCTTCAATTACAGGTTGATTTACCGATGGGTGGCAAAGGGTAGTGCTGCACATCAAAACCGGGTGAAATCCTGGCCCCACGGAAGTTGGTAGGAAAACTTGCATGGAAACCTCTCCCACCAATTACAATTGTAAACCGTGACAGAGAAGCACGTTACTAATAATGGTAATTTTAATAGCAGGCACATGTTCACTAACACATTCATTAGAAGTATGCTTTAGGTGAATGCGCTTTGTTAACACTAAACAGAAGGTGGCTCTGAGAGCTCCAAAAGGGTTTGCTCCAAGGTGTGGAACTGCTCCTGAATCAAAAATGGGCTCTGGTACTTCAGCGAGCACAGTGATGTACCTGCTTGCAGATGTACGCATCACTCATGAAATTAACCTTTCAGATATACAAGGTATCGCAGGTTAGATTAAATACTTGGAAAAAGGAGCCAAGATGGTATTCGTTCTAGTAATTTAATTAATTTTCTACTCCTTCCAAGGAAAACCACTTTCTTTTTCAGCAGATTTAGTTTATCAGCCTAATCTGGGGTACATTTGCCTCATATGCTTCTCTACAGAATTCTATGTATTTGAAGTTGGTTTGGATGGAGTTCATAATGTCTTTGCTCTGAGCGGTTTCATTTTTCTAATTAATAAACTTTAATTAACCCAAAAAAATTCAGTCCTGTGGAGTTGTTGGGTTTTGGTAGTTTTTGGGTTTTTTTGCTTTGCAATCTCCATATTGAATTTACATTAGATTACAAAAGACTAAAACTAATACTCTGATACCACTTCAGCATCTTTTCTTCTGTCCCATGGAGAATTGCTTATCAGAAGTTTACATTAGCCTTGTCTTATGTGATGATTAACAGGCACAATGTTCAGTTTGCATATACAACAATTTATTTCACTTTGTCTACTTTTGGTTAATAACCAAATATTTCCTAAGTTTTCATTTGTCACACCAATCATTTCAGGTAGGTGTTCATCGCATTCACTATTGGAAATAAAAATAAATCATATAGGTAGGGTATAATGTGCTCTCTTAAAATGATGCCTAAAACACTGACACAACTAATGGTATCTACTAATGACTAAAACCAGAGGTAAACTAATGAGGGGCATGACATACCAGCTAGACATGCAACATAACAGCCAAGTAGCATCTGCCAATTTGACTTAATGGTATTTTTTTCTTTACATTAAGTAATCTAATAATATGGAATATAATCCGTGTTTGGGATGTCAAGTAACACTTCAGAAGTTCATATAGACCATTTTGATACAGCAGCAGAGAGAGCAAAGGCACTCAAAATGCTGAATAACATCAGGAGTTGGGGAGCGGAGTGTTTCCCAGCAGAACTCTATAAAAAAATAAGAGAGAAATTTGATAAACCCATTTCTAAATAGTTCTCTTCATTGCTGTTATAAAAGAGTAGAAATTTTCACAGTAATATTTTTCTATTAGCCCCATCTATTATGTAGACATTTCTGATGTCAAAAGATCATGTTCCACATTCGTATCAACACATGTTTTTCAGTGATTGTCATGGTCAAAAGTATAAAGCACCTGTGTGGTCCCACTTCATTTTTGTTAAGACTATTTCATTTATTATGTTGCACATGTGTTCTCAAACATTTATTCAGATGTAGGAAATTTGACAGATTTCAGTTTTCTGTGACATTTAGAAGGAAGAAACCAGTAGAAACTACAAAGAGGAAAAGTTCTTACCACTTGACTGCCGCCTGAGTAAGGTGAGTGCTGAAAACAAACAAACAAACAAATAAATTTATAGAGGTGTTTCTAGTCAATGGTTTTGAACACAGTTTTTCCTGTGATCAATGAGATTTTAATAGCTTAACCCACAGCATGGTTTTAAATTGTTCAAGAGGAAGGTTGAACTAATATTAATACAGAATGTTTTCTTCAGACCAAATCATCCCAAAATTTCTCTGCCCACCACCCAGGTTCTTTGTTTACTAAGAAAAGAAGATTAAAGTACTGTGATGAAAGTATTCTTACCGGTTTCCCAGAGTAAGTGCTTCCTGAGCTAGAGCTGCCCTGTGAAGTAATATGAACCATTTAATTTTGTCATACAAAGCTGCAGTGAACATCATCCAAAGAGCACACAGCAGTTCTGAAAATGCCCTGGGTATTAGCCAGTCTGATCTTGATTTTACCATTTTCACTGCACTTCCCCCCCTTTTTTGATTGAATGGTCTCAAATAAGCACAGCTATGTTCTTTTCATTACACGAAGAGTTTCAGAGGAATGGGTCAAAGCAACATGTCTTGTCTGAGCTACAGAGTTGGTAACTGAAACAATTACCCTGATATTTAAATACATCATTCCTACTAGAATGACCCAAGCATGTTCCTGTGAGTAAGAAACAGAGTCGGTCAAAACTTTGCTATGGGAGGAATAAATGCTGCCTCATTCTAAGGTGCAGGTTTGAACAAAATACTCCAATTTTTATTGGTATTTTTTCTCATACATTTACCATTTCAACATAATTTGAAATGTCACCTTTATTGTTGTTACCTGTCTTAAAACCCAATATCCCCATTTCTAATTTGGTTGTGGAATACTGAAAGAAGAATATCCTTACTGGCTTTCCTTGTTGACTGCCTCCTGAGGAAGAGGAACCCTGAAAAAAAGATACCTGTTTTTGACTCTAAGTCTATTTGTGCTTAAATATTTTTGCTATCTGGAATTAAAGACCACAGAAGAATTAACACTGTTTTGTATCCAGTCATCCAAAAATCCCAAGGAAAATCTTATCTGAAATTCAAATATTTAACATCTTTCTGAGTGTTCTTTCAAATGTTGTATTGGACAATTTAATACAAAAGTCTCAAGAAGAAACAGTTTTATAGTTGTGTTTAATATATGGAATGGGAAAAGTAATAAGGTCCACTTAAACAATCATTCTCCTGGTATTAGTCAATGGTTATTTTGGGGGAAAAAAGAGACACTTCCAACAAAAAAAGGTAAATTATAAGATGCCTTTACAGCCCCTGCTTAAAGAAAGCTAATGAGAAAGGTAGTTGAAAATAAAAGTGAGTACAGAAAAATTAGATGTTCTGAAAGCATCTTAATCAGTTTTCTGGTGAAGTGGCTCTGCTTATTTGAATGGCATTGCCAACAGGATTTTAGTTTATCAGCCTAATCTGGGGTTTGATAATGTTACAAACATTAAATCTTTAAGAAATGCCATCGAATAGGTACAGAAAATGTCTCGCCTTTAGGATTCATGTATTAGAAAATGTACCATTTATAGCCACTGTTTAATAACAAGTACATCTTTTCTGTAAGAGATAAGCTAAAACATTTGTATCAACTGCTATTGAATGGCAAGAGCAAGGTCCAAATTACATAGTAAAAAGAGTAGTCTGAAATGGTAGAAGTTGAATATATGCATAGTTCAATGGCAACTATTATTGCCTTTGAAAAGAAAAAGTGCTTTCTTCTGAGCAAGACAGAAATACTTAAGAGAAATGCATACAAAATCAATGAAAAAGTGAGCTCTGAGCACAAAGTGCGTGATTACTATGAATTTAAACAGAAATAGCTGTTCAAAAGTTTCTTACATACACACATACACAAAAATCTAATGGTGTCCTTCTGTGATTACTACAAGTTCAGCTGCATAGTAAAATGCTGTTTCAAAACTGTGAGAAAATAAATACTATGTTTGCATTTGTTGAGAGTATCCCAGATAAGTAAATTCTGTGACACTCTTTGCATATTAAGGTAATTCTCAGAAAACTGTCTAGTCCATAACTATCTTGATATAGTGTTTTTTTCAACAGGTGTGTAAGAAAAGAGAAATGTAAATTTGAATGTTTTGTACTTACTGGTTTACCATATTGCTTGCCTCCAGAAGGATATGAGCCCTGTAAGAAGGCAATCAAATTTGTATTAATTGAATGAAAACTCTTCTATTACTGTCTTGAGACAATTTCTGCAGTACTTAGGACAAGCTTATTTGATTGTTCTTTGAACAAATAAGGTAAATGGGGTACCTAAAGTTTACACTCTGTACTCCATACCACAACAGTGGCAATTTGAATCAAGCAAGCAGTGTCATGAAATATAGCCTGGCAACTGTACTATGTTCAAAGGAATATTTTACACAGAGCAGTAACTCATTGTAACCAAGTCTTTTATTCACCTTACTGAAACAACTTCAATTCATATTACCTCCACTGTTTAAACGTAATAAAATTGCCAAATTAATATATCTATCAGCATCAAATAACTGACCCGATCTAGAAAGTATGTTAGGAAGCAGTTAGAAGTGCTGGGATGGAAAGAGAATACTCACCTGCCCACCATATTGCCTGCTTCCTGAGGGATAAGATCCCTATTAAAAAAAAACAAAACAAAACCAAATGAAACAAACACAGAAAATTAACATCAGTTTCTTTTCGTTTTTCTGTGCAGAATGAAACATCACAGAACTTTTGACAGATCTCAGTCATAATCTGGAAAGTATGTTAATCTAAAAAGATGCAGTGAAAGACTTCTGACTTCAATGCCTCTAAGTTCTTCAACAGCTGAAAGTAGTAAATTGGGAAAACAGTCACAAAACACCTGCTGAGGTTGTTCTGTTACATAAAGAAATGGATCAAAAGTGTCTTACATATGGCTTTATTCAAGAGAAAAAACCCAATCTACTTTATTTGTGATTTTCTACTATGTCAAACATGTCCAGAGAGCATCATGTGTATTATTGTAAAAACATTGCTAATATTACCAAATAGGTAGTTTGGGGAAAAAAAATTGATTTGTAGCTATTGAGAATCCTCTCCATTCTTCATGAGATTATCTTTTTAATAGAGTGATACTGGACTCCAATGCTCACCAGTGGAGTAAAAAGAAATTATTTTTTTAGTATGGTAGAGTGAGACATTGCAAACACAGTAATACTAATAAAAAAGAGGCTCCATCGTATGAGTTAGTCATCCATTTAATCTGTCAGCTGTTTGCACTAGTAACATTTCTGAATCAGTGGCAAACAGTCTGCATAAGGTACACACTTAACAGGAAGGGTCTTGAGTTGAAGCTGAAGAGGAAAGTAGTGTTATTGTGTGTAGGAGATCAGAATTTATATTTTTTTAAAGCAGTATCTATTGGTTTATTCTGTACCAAATTTTCCAAGTATTTAATGTAAATACGAAAATTCATATAAATTAAAATTTAAAATAATAATTTGAGATAAGAGGCATTCTGACATAAAACAACTTGAATTATCTACAGAATTTCTTTATTTGGAAATTTGTTCATGCTACTCCATTTCAAGTAGACTCTAGCTACTGACAGTCCTATTTTCAAATATTTATTAGGAGTAAAATGACCCCAAAAAACTGTCAGTATATGTACTGCATGATATTTCTTGTTTAATAAATTGCAAGTAGAAAGAAGATCTTGAAAACAAAGAAAATATGCTTGCCTGTCCACCGTACTGATTGCTTCCAGGATACGAACCCTGTAAAAAGAATGCAAAAATTTTATAAATAATTGTTTTAATAGCAACAAAAATTTTAAATGGCAAAAAAATCCTGAACCTAATATAGACAATACACATACAATACACATACAATATTAACTGGAAGAACTTTATACATTTACTAATGCAGTGGCAGATGATTAATTATCCACACATCATATGGGTGGTTTATGCAGTGAGATGAACCCAGTGAATGATTCTTCAGTAATTTTTTAAGGTAAGAAAGCTTCTATAACTACAAAGTAAAATCTTGGCTCTTGTCTATAGAAGGGTATAACTGAAATGTCAAGAGTGATTGAATAAAAGCCCCATGCACTCTCTGGAATTATTTTACCTATCTCTATGACTAAACTGAACTCAATATTTAATGGCTTCTGGCAACTGAGGCATGTTTATTCCTGAGGAACCAATCTGTGTAAATGTCAGAGACAAACTGCCTACCTGTCCACCATGGTAGTTGCTTCCTGAGAAAGAGCCCTGCATTCAACAGAAACACCAATGTTTACTCTGTATTAACTGCAGTGTCACAGAAAGGAAAACCAAGAGAACACACTGACCTATTGCAATGATCAAGTCATTTATACTGCTTACTTTTATTCTGATTCATCTTGATTTATATGTCAAGTAATAGATATGTATAATGTTTATTATTATTATATTTATATAAATTCTAATTTATATGTTGTTTTCAACACTTTTGATTCTCAGAATTGGCATATATGACATGGGTTATATACTTGGGCATGTCATTTTGCTTGATTACGCAGACCAATAAAGAGGAGTAGTGATCCAAGCATCCAAGCAGTTTTGACTGTGAAAAAAACCAGATAACTGAACCCTCCTTCAGGAGTAAATTAACTTAATCTCAGCAAAATGGGGAGGGGGGGGGGAGGCATTTTGTATGCTAGGGTTTTTTTGGGTTTTTTTTCAGGAATTTGCAAAGAAATAAGAAATATACTAATTAGATAGAAAAATGGAAATAGCTTTAACTTTTCCAAATGTGTTTCTCTGCTCCATTCTGAAAGAACCTGGAGCCAAGATTTTAATCTAAGTTTCACTTGTTCAATCATACTGTTAATAACTATCATAAGAGCAAAGTTAAAAACCCAACAGGTACACTATGAGATATTTGGGAAACAGATTCTTAGAAAAGTCCCTGACCTCTCTTTTACAAACTGAGTAGCTAGTTTTGAATGCAATACTATGGTTGCAAGTCACTTAATATTTCTGCCTTTAGCAAGTTCAAAATTGCTCACTTTGGCATAATGTGGAAAAAGCTTTCATCATACATAGAACTTCACCGACAAAATCATTTCAAGAAATGTCATTCCTTGGGAATTTTCCAGTATGTGTACGTACTATGAAAAATACATAAAGACAAAAAATACTTACTGAACCTCCACCGGGGCACACACACCCACCCTGTACAAAACACAACCAAACTTACTTTCCTGGGTCTGTGATTGGAATAGGCCTCTGAATTAGTAAATCAAACTCACATTCTGCTACTCTAAGAAAACAGACTATAAAACATTGCTCATCAATTTATCAAGCTCCATTTAAAAAGGTAGTTTCTTTGTCTGCTGTGCACTTACTGATCAAATTTTTAAATAGACTCTTTTAACTTCTCATTTAATATTTACAGTAACTCACAAAGGTATTTACAGTACTCACAAAAGGATAAGTAAAAATTTTTAAATAGTAATACAGATCTCATGTATTTCCCTTGAGGAGACCAGAGCTTCAAGCCTGTCAGAATTCAAGAAGCATTTGATCAATGCTCTCAGGCACATGGTGTCATCCATGGGGTGTCCTGCACAGGGCCAGGAGTTGGACTTGAGGATCCTTCCAACTTAGGGAACTCTATGATCCTATAGATACATACAGACTTCCACTGGAGGACTATTAGGTAACTTTTACTTTGATAACACTTAGTAAGAGGTGGCCAGAGGTTCACTATTCAGTATCTCCACTTTCAATCTGGATGAAATGTGTGAAGGGAAACAGTTCTTGTGAAGGAAAGTAACACAAAGCAATTTGTGAGTATATGACACTAGCAGAACTGAGCAGTGCAGAGAAAGAAAAGCATACCTGTCCACCAGACTCTCTGACTCCTGAAGAAAAGCCCTGGAAGAAATGAGAAACTTAATTACTTTTGTATTACTGAGTAACATTCTCACTTGTTCTCTGTGGCCTCCAAATTGCTTCCATTTAAATGTAACACAAAAAATTGTCCTTTTAAACCATGGTATGTTGAAGAAACATTTCCATGCAGTGTCACAGGCCCCTGCATCATTTGCTCTGAAATACCAGACAGAATCATACTTAGCAATCCTCCTTCAGTTTGGCTTAAAGCTGTTTTATCTTAGAATGTTCCTTTTTTTGCAAAAAATACCCGTCTGTTTTCCTGATGAACTGTGTACCCAAACTGCAAATACCATGAAAATAGAAGTTTTACCTGTCCACTATACTGGCTGCTTCCTGAAGAAGCTATACCCTAAAGAAATGAAAAAGTATTCATATTTGTTGCACATTCTTCAACTTACGACCTGCCACAGAAAAACACACTTTTATTTGTTTTCCATGGATTTAAGTGCCACAGGGACATGAACATTTACTTTATAACCATACTGAAATCCCCTGGCCTTTACAGCAGCTGCTGTTTAAACAGAATAATGAAGTTTGAATCAAAGTCAGCTTCAGGCAGGTGTGAGTAGTGCTCACACCAGCAGCATACTGGACTGTATGCTCACAACAGCCTTCTATGCTTTGCTTATGTGAGTGGGCTGGCACAGCAGAAAGTCAGATATTTGTCTATTCTGCCTAAACACTGTTTAGTTGTAAGACACTTTAAAAAATGGTCTGATTTTCACCAAAAACAAAAAAAAGGTGAACAATGGAAAAAAACAACCCATAAACAGAAAAACAGTTCTCACCTGTCCTCCATAATGGCTGCTGCCTGGCAAAGATGGACCCTGTAGCAAAGGTGCCAATTATTTCTCAAATCAAAAAGCTTCTTTAAGTGCTTTTTAAAGAATCTCTATCTTTTTCCTCTGTTGCACAACAAAAATAAACAACCAGCCTATTGCTTTATGTGTCACTCCGTATTAGAGGCTATACCTCCAGGCAGCACTAGGAATTTTGTCATCTTTCATTTCACAGGGGCATGAAGAATCTTAGTAACTCCTCACCTTCTCCCCTCTTCCTATTTAAACCATGCTGCTTTTCAGATATCACTTCTGATACTGCATTTTGCTGAAGGAAATGAGCTAGAGGAGGGATGGGTCTGCTTCTAGCCGCTCCTAATTGCTAGAGCTAAGAAACCTTGACAGCAGCAGGGCAGGTTGAAGAGTAGAACAAAGCCAGAACTGCATTTAATACAACAGAAGCCATAGTTTTTGTATTGCTTCAGATCATATATCTTTAGATACCTATCTGTTATCAGATAAACAGAGTTTTCACAAAACATTTTTTCAGTCAATATAAAAATAACAAGTTTTGATGTAGAAATTGTGTGTTAGAATAAGAGCTACACAGGAATAGATTCTCACCTGTCCTCCATACTGGCTGCCTCCTGAAGAAGGTGAACCCTGAACAAAAAGAATTAAATTATCTTTATGTCTCTGTCATAGTAATCCCTTAAACCATGCTCCATATGGAGTGCCCAGTTTCCTTCGCTGCAGAACTCCGGGTGGACTGAACAAGACTGTGCCAAAACGGGTGAGGCTTATCTGCATTTGCCATGATGCATCAGAAATTCCATCTTAAAAACTCTTCTGTAGCTTGGTATCACATACATTTATAACCATTATATACTTAGCAACAAATTAGATAAAAAATGGACAGAAACCCCCAAACCAAACCCCAACCTCCTTAAAATGTTCTTTTAACTTTAACAGAGAGAACTACCAAATCTCTCTGATAAAATAGTAAACACTACAAGGGAAGAATATTCACCTGTCCACCATATTGGCTGCCTCCTGAACCCTGAAAATAAACAAAAAATGGAGACTGAAACCTTTTTACACTTGTTTCATAGACTCATAGAATCATTTCGTGAGGACTTAAAAATTCTTGTTAGCTTTGTAAAGTACTGATTTACTTCAGAGAGACATGATATCTAGACCTGCAAATTTCAGGACTCATTTGAGTCAACCATGTATTTCACATTCTGTTTTATCTTAGTCTTAGATAATGATCTTCATTTGAACTTGTTTTTTTTTGTTGTTTTTTTTTTTTAATTACAGTAGCATCAGAATACTTCAGAAAAGATTTACCGAAAATATTTTAAATTAAAGCTAAGATATAGTTAGGTGGACAGTAAATAAACTACAAAAATGGGGACTATTAATGCTTACTTGTCCACCATACTGGCTGCCTCCATAAGAAGATGACTCCTGGGAAAGAAATGATAATCAGTTATTTCTGAGCATCTAATTAATTAACAGAAACGAACTAATTAACTAATTAATGGAAAGAAGTGGCAAAGACATCTATACTTTGTTATTTGAGTGTTGTGTGTAATTATCCCAGAATAAACTCTGGGTTTTTTTGTCTTCCTTGAATTCACAATATTGCTACAGAATACAGACCACTGTCAATTTTCTTGATATATTAAACTGAGATCCTTAATATGAGTCAACTATTTATAAAAAATAATATAAAATATTGAAAGGAAAAGCTTACATGTCCTCCATACTGGCTAGCTCCAGAGGAATATGAATCCTGTAAAGAATACCAGATAAGAGTGGGATTTCCTTTAATCAAAACATGACTCTGCCAGGACAACAGGAGCAAGAGAGCAAGGTAAGAGTGAAGGCAGGTGAGCAGGACTTTGGAATGCTTTAATAACTAGAATTTGAGCAAAGTAAGTTAGGAAAATACCTGAGATCCTTAGCAAGGGTGGGAGACAAAGACATGGTGCTTTGTTTGTGTGACATGTTGGGAAGGTTAAAGTGGTACTTTTTCCAGTTCTTCCTCTGCTCATTTCTGGAGAGTGGCATTTTTTTTATTTGGAAAACTGAATGCTGGGCCAGACTTAGGGGTAAAATATGGGCTACCTAACATGACTCTGAAAACCAAACTAAGAAAAATTACTGAAACCTCATACAACAAGGGATCTCTTTAAAGAGGCGAGATTGGATTTGTTTTTATTCACAATGGAATTAGGTGCAATAGAAATATAAAATTATGCAATTTGATTTATTCTTTTCTCATTTTTTTGGTGAGCTTCATTTTGCAAATTTTTCCAAAGCAAGGACAGTATTTCCTATAAACCCCATTGTTATAATTTTTAGTCCATATCTAACTCAATGATGAATTTAATTTACTGAGCTTTTGCTCTTTTTACCCAGTTTCCATATAAAAACTGAATTTGAGTGAATGGATTAACAATCATTTTCAGAACTGGCTCTCCTTTTGGAATGAATGCTTACTTGGCTGTTGTACTGGCTGCCTCCAGAGGAAGATGAGTCCTGGGGAAAAAAGCAAAGAGAACCACCAATTATTTTACTCTAAAAGAAACAAAACTTTTGTTCTTTTAAAGCAAAACTTCTTGAAAGACCGTAGTACATAAATACTAATACTGAACTTTCTTGCAGTAATTTATCTAAGAGGTATACAATCACATAAATCCATGTCCTTTGGGGATATTTTTACATAATTCCAAGGATGCCAATGGAATTGACTCCCGAAGTAAATATTTATACTGTTATCTGCCTGTGTTTTTGGCAATATTTTTCACTGTAAGACTTCCCTTTGAATGAAAACTATTTCAAATGGAAAGAGAAACTGGGAGAGCTGCATGAATGCCCTGTGTACATTTTTTTGTTATAATTAAAAGGAATGGCCTGTGTGTATTTTAAATTGTAACCAAAGTAGATTATTTTCACAAGTGTATGACTTCTATTATTCTCTCTAGCCATTATATTGATAAAACAAACAAAGATTTTTTAAAAAAATCTTAAAAGCTGATGGACATTGCTTACATTTACAGAGGAATCACTCCTGACTAAAGTAGAGGATCCACCCTATAAAGGAAAAAAAGAAAAGAAAAATTAGCTTTTGTCTTTGATCATAAACTATAAATGAAAGAAAACCTTAGAATATTTATTCCACGGCATTCCAAAGGAAGACTATCATAGCCTGAAATTAGTTACACTTACACTTCACTTACTTTTATCAATTTGTCAAGAGAGAAAGAAACTATTTTCTGTTCCAGAAGACCATAAATCATGAAGTATCATATTGTATCTGCCTATAATTCATTGCCTAGGAAATAAGAGTATTACCCAAGGTGCAGGAACATCCTTTACATGCTACATGTTGATTGACCACATATGATTTGCTTTGGAAAATGGGGATTACCCTATTTCATAGTCTTCAAGTAATTTTATATGGACTTAAAAGCACAAGTGAGAAGTCCCTCAGTTTTTGGTTTTGTTTGTTTTAAATTTTGTAAACATTGATTTTTTTATACAAATTTTTGTGATTGGCAATTTTGTTGACTGGATATTATTTTAGCATTCTTTAATGATAGATATTTTGTCAATTAATTCTGGTATTTAATGCAATCTTTTTGGTTTTTTTTGAGAAGAGATACACATCTCTGTAAATACTGTATGGCAACGGACATCACTGCTCAGAAATGCAACTCACTGCCAACTCTGGGGCTTCCTGTCTTTTATCAGAAATAATGTGGCCAGCAAGCATCACTAGGGAAGTGATTGTCTCCCTATACCAAGGGGGGACTAATGAGGCTTCCACCTTGAGTCCTGTGTTCACTTTTGGGTCCCTCACTACCAGGTGGACATTGAGGTGTGGGATTGTGTCCAAAAATGGCAACGGGGCTGGGGAAGGGTCTGTAGCACAAGGTTTGTGAGGAGCAGATGAAGGTGCTGGAGTTGTTTAGCCTGGACAAAAAGAGGCTCGGGGAACCTTATCGCCCTCTACAACTCCCTAAAAGGAGGCTGTAGCCAGGTGGGGGCTGGTCCTCTCTTTCAAGTAAAAAGCAATAGAACAAGAGGAAATTGCCTCAAGCTGCTCCAGGGGAGACTTAGATTATATTTCAGTAAACAATTTCTTCGCTGAAAGGATTATCAAGCACTGGGGTTGCTGGGGAAGGGGCTGAATCACTACCACCAGAGGTGTTTATAAGGCATGTACATGTGGCACTTAGGGGTATGGTTTAGTGGTGACCTTGGCAATGCTGAGTTAATGGTTGGACTCGAGGCATTTTCCAACCTAAATGATTCAATGATTCTGTAACACTGAATCTTGGCATAATGAGAAATAGCTCCTACCATATCAGAACCATCTAAGTCACCAAAGGAACAATGAATGTCAAATTAAGAGTACATTCAAATAAGTAAGTTGAAAATAAATAGGATTTCACATAATTTTCCAGTTAAATTGTTTAGTGAAAGAAAATGTATAATGAACAAGAAGCACTTACAGAACTTCCCCCAGAACAATCACATCCACCCTGTAAAAATGCAGAAAGTATTTAAGATATCAAGAACACAGGACTGAAATGGATTTTAGTTACAACTCAAATTAATTCTACCATCCCAAGCATGCAAACCATAAAGCTACATTTTAACTGCCCAATTTCTAGAACTGAGTCTATTTCATCTTATGCAATGATTTCTGCACTCTGACGGGGCAACAAAATGCTAATTATTTTGTCTTCAAATTCTCTTACCTACAATTTTTACCTTAAAAACATTACCCATCAAAAGGATGAGTAAAAAATTCTGAGTAGCACCACAGAAAGACTTTTTTTTTCCTAAACAGGCCAGAGCACCAGGAGTACATGCAGTACTGTTTCATGTTACAGATGATACAGAAAGCAGATGATTTAATCTCTGATAAAACTAACTGTTGGTGGCCAGGAGTTCATTCAGTGTCTCACTTTCCACGTTCAATATGCATGAAATTTGTTTAGCACCAAAGCAAGTACAGAAGCTACAATACACATGTCAAACAGTTACTACTGGCTACTCTGGCTTGCAGGATGTCCAAATTGTTTCCAAAAGGAAGCAATGCACTGCTGAGGCTTTGGGCACAAAGGACAGTGGTGAAGGAAAACAGTTCTTGTGAAGGAAAGATAAAAGAAGTAAATTTGAGTGCCTGACACGAGCCCAGCTGAAGACTGTGGAGAAAGAAATTCATACCTGTCCACCAGACTGGCTGCCTCCTGAGGAAGGTGAACCCTGTAAATGTTACATTCACATTTAAAAATTTTTCTTTGACACGTGAATTTAAATACAAAATATTGTCTTTTACTCTTTTAACTAAGTTTGAAAAGATCTGTTTAGTTGAGAAAGCAATTTTATCTGTAGTAATTTTAATGAGGATAAAATAAATCACAGAGTAGTCTGGAAGCTTAGGTATTGCCAATTTACTAATATTTTCTTGAAATATATACACTGAGGGAAAAACCCATCACAATAACAACAAAGAAGAAAAATTTCCCACCTGCCCCCCATACTGGCTGCTTCCAGATGAGGCTGAGTCCTGAAAAATATAAAAATCACTTACTTCATGTTTAACATATATTAATTAATGCCAAATATTTATTACTTTCATTTTTCCTGGTGTTAAAACACCAGTTAATACATTAAATGTATGTTTGACTACTCCACTTGCATCTGGGCTTTTACATGGAGATATGTAAGGAAGAATGAATCAACCTTGTTCACAGTTTAAAAATTGCTGTAATACCACATGAGGCCTCCAACTTTTGTGTGGCAGATACTTGAGGTCAAAAATACAAAGATTTAGTATTTACCTGTCCACTGGAGTAGCTACCACTTTGAGAAGATGACCCCTGAAAAAAGCAGACCCAATATTTTTTTGTTTGAAATGGTTTCTGGAGAACAAGACTGTTATACACATTAAATTTTTAATTTTTAAATTCAGTTTGCAATTAGATTTCACAAGACATAATACCAGATGTCATGACAAATTCCAAGAAATAAACAGTTTGGTGTCATTTACTCACTGGGATAATTTTTAAATAGTACAGCCATTTTTGAAGGGAACTTCAAATAATAAATAAAATAGATGCTTACATGTCCACCTGACTGGCTGCCTCCTGGGGAATAAAAATCCTGGAAAAATGTATTGAAATTAAATGAAAAAACCAAACCCCAAAAACTGGAAAGATCAGAGTGGAAGAAAAACACTCCTCTTTCCTTCTCCACATTCCTTAATTTTCTGTCATGGACTGTTCAAGAAAAACAAAAAAAATCTGCCATCTTTCTGTATAAAACAGCACACACCCTTTCATGACTATTGATAATTGCTCTTTTGGTGGTAGATATTCTCTAGGATACAGCAGCTGAAAGAATTCTATCTCTAACAAAATAATTTCTCAGTCTGTGTCATTAGAATAATCACAGCATGTGCCATGTAAAAATGATAGGAAAATGGAAGCCTTCATAAATAAGTCTTACAGCACAACAAAGCAAAGGGTTGCACTTATTCTAAGTGCTGGACAAATCATGGTATTGAAGCTCTTTGCAGTCAAGCAATGATTAAAAAGAGCAAGGTCCTGAACAAGTAAATGGTGCTATCACATTTGTGATGTGAGTTTGAAATTCAAGAGCACACCTCAGCATCAGCTGGGGTTTCTAGCAGTACTTTAACTCTTTATCCATATCCTCATTCCCACTGTTCTTGAGGGTTTTCTGTCTCACACTGGAACTGCCTCAGGGTTTCCACAGGAGATGTAATTAGGTGCTGCTGTTGCCAAGCACTGGGGCTGGCATCTGGCAATACCATAATGGAAGGACTGCTTACCCGTTCACTCTGGCGGCTACCAGATGGTGAGGAGGAATCCTAAAAAATATCAGAATCTTATTATTGCCATGGCAAATATTACTATTCCTTTCTAAGCAAAGGTGGGAAGCAAAGGAAGGTACTGTTTGTGGGAAGGTTGAAGATAAACACTGTAGGATAAGAAGTCTACAAATTCTTTCTCTGCTCATTTCTGGAGAATGGCATTTCTTTATTTTGATAGCTGAATCCTGATATAGTGAAATAAAGGAATGAGGTCCCATCTCTATTTTCTTTCCTTCAGAATGTTTCAGGGGAAAACACCAGCCTTTTAAAAGCTTTCTTGGTTTTTAAGACCAAGATGTGGTACACATATGTTGTTACACCTTAGTTTCTTTCAGAGGGGTTTTTGGGCCCTCTGTAGTGTCATACTTTAGCTTTCTTGAATACCCATAAGAAGATTTGGTATAGAGACAGCACTGAAATTATCGACACAGTATACTTGTGACCAAAGTGCACAGCTGAATTTAAAATTACTTGTGGAGAGCAATTTCCTACTAAAAAGGACCCTGGAAAACACTGGAATTGTCAAATTTTATAAACAGCTTCAGCAGAATTTAAGGAAATATATTTTAGTCAGGAGAAAAGACATCTTCTTAAGAAAAGCAGACATTTTTCACCACACTTCATGAAACCAGACCATTCCTATGCAATATATAGATGAAGGAATTTGAATATTTTATGTCTGGCATTGGGAAAAAAATGAAATGTAGTGTGAATTGCTAATGGAAAGAAGGAAGTACTCATGTACTAATACTGAGTTTTGATGGAAATTGTGAAATAAGAAGAGCTTTCTTTGTAATTGCTGCTTGTAACAACCAATTCAAAAAATGTTTGATTGTTAGAAGTCAGAAGTGTTGTAACTGCAATTTTAATTTGTGAAGTCCTTATCATGTATAGCACAATCACGTGACATCAGATAAAGTGGAGGTCTGTGTAGGCACCTAGATACTTTAAAAGGTAATGAATTATGACATTGATATTGTTGAGAAAAAATGCTTACACTATATTCCGTTTCACTGGCTCCCATGGAAGCTGAATCCTGTAAAATAATGAAAAAACATAGATTTTCATGTAAAAAGGACTCTTACATGTTCTTAATTGTGGGGAATATAAAATAGAAGAATAAAACTAACTAAATGCTTAAAATCTCCAATTTTACCTAAACTGAGAAATATGCAAGAAAAGACAAAATATGTAACTTTACCTGTTGCTTAAGCAGAAGAGGCTGGGATAAAACCCTCCTTGCAAACATGCATTTTTATAACAAAAAATTTTTACGTTAAATTAATTTGCAAAGTTGTCATTCTTTATATTCAAAAATCCCATTATTTAAACTTTTAACAGCTTCTCCATAAGTAAGGTGTGTAAAGTAAATGCACAAAATATTTTCCTTCTGAATGAACTAACACATGAACAATAAAGGAGTTAAAGCATTGAGTAATCACAAGGCATAGTTAAAAACGCATACATAGTGCCTCATGTTCTGTAAATTGTGGAAACATTTTGAGTTTTTACAAAGATAAAGAGAGACAAAAGTTAAAATGGCATTTTCATTGTCCTGAAAAATAGCATAAAAATAACTGAAACATAGAACCCAGTACACATAATTACCAACATAGCAAGCATAAGCTTTTGATGTAGGAGAAAATAACATTTACCTGGCCATAAGTCTCAGAACCACTATAAGCAGAAGATCCACCCTGTTCAGAAAACAGAAATAATTTTCATATTGTAAAAAGGTTATTTTTTTTTAATATATATACTTACTGTGGGGATCTTCTTAAAAAATATTATTTACTCAGTTATCAGATTTGTTAAGCAACTCAGAGTTATTTCTCTGTAAAATACTAACGTTACATGTTTTTTAACTCAAATTCTTTTTCCACTTTTGAAGTGATCTTCATCTTGCAGGTAATTTAAAGCTAGCATTGTTGAGAATGAGCCTTAAAAGTTGGAGGCACCTTACCTTGTACTTCCCTATAAACTTCCAGGCTAACTAGTTAAAAGTATATACAAATTTACTGATTCCTCAAAGAAAAGATCACTTTCATTAGAATATAGTGAGAGACAAAATACAGATATAGCTGTATATTTACTTCACCCAGGGTATTGGCCCTCAGCAACATTTACACAAAGTGTAAAAAAAGAGTATTTACCTGACCATAGGATTCACTGCTGCCATCATAAGCAGAAGACCCTCCCTGCACAGAAAATAAAAAAAAACCTGATTAATTTGATTCTCCCAAAAAAGTGTTTTCCATCTTTCAAGGACAGAATAGGTGTGAAAATAAAAGAAGTCTGTTTTCTCTACAAACAAGGAAAAACACCTACCTGTCCATAAGATCCACCAGGATAGAAGGAAGGCCCTCCCTGCAGAGAAAACATAGAAATTTACTGTTTTGTAGTTGAATGTTCTCTCAAACAACACTTACAGGCTGCTCCTGTGCAGGCACAGTGACCCAAATATTTACCTGGTTACCAGAGTAAGAACTGTGGGAAGAACCTGGGCCACCCTGAAAGAAAAACACAGGCCAATTATTTTCTTGCAGATGAGAGTTTAAATGCCTGCACACCAAGTTCTCACTTCACTCTTTCTCCCAATTTAGAGCTAATTTTTATGTGCCTAAGTAAAACTCAAGACCATTGTTGACCAGAGGGATGGGAGTCTGTATTATCCTGGTGAGGGAGGAAGAACTACTACCTGTCCATAGGATCCTCCAGGATAGAAGAAAGGCCCTCCCTGTGCAGAAGACAGAATGGGTTACTGGTTGATATCTGGCTACTCCTTCAGGGAAGGTTTCAGATGGAGTTGCTGAATAGGGCATTTTATCTGAATGTTTACCTGGTTACCAGAATATGTGCTGTATGAAGAACCTGGGGCTCCCTGAAATGAAAACACAGACTAGCTATTTTCTTGCAAATAGGGTGGTGTAAATACCATTGTATCCAAATCTCACTTTAGGCTAATACTGCTAAACAAAAAGGGACTTTTTATCACTAATTTTTTAGTTAGATGAAAGGTCATTCCATGGAAGTCGTAATGAAAAAAAACTAATGAAATTTAGTCTTTTAATCTGACAGATTTCATGTTGTGAGGTACAGACAGCTGATACAATAATTATGTGTGATGATAGACTCAACTCTTGTGTGTTATATATTTCACAGCAGCCACTACACAGGGAATATAGGAATGAAGATTAAAGAAGTCTGTTATTATCTACAAAAAAGAAAAAACACCTACCTGTCCATAAGATCCACCAGGATAGAAGGAAGGCCCTCCCTGCAGAGAAAACATAGAAATTTACTGTTTTGTAGTTGAATGTTCTCTCAAACAACACTTACAGGCTGCTCCTGTGCAGGCACAGTGACCCAAATATTTACCTGGTTACCAGAGTAAGAACTGTGGGAAGAACCTGGGCCACCCTGAAAGAAAAACACAGGCCAATTATTTTCTTGCAAATGAGAGTTTAAATACCTGCACATCTGGTTCTCACTTTATCCCTTCTCCTAGTTTAGAGCTAATTTTTATGTGCCTAAGTAAAACTCAAGACTATTGTTTTTAAAGTGGAAGAAATCTTCTGGCAGCAATTTTCTTAGCTTTCTGAAACTTGAATACTGCAAAGAAACTGCAGAGACCATTCTGTACTGTTCTCTGTTGAGCTTCACACCACCAGGCTACATCAGAGTTAATTTAATTTTTCTGCTCTAAGTAATAACAGTCAAGCCTTATTTTAGTACGTCATAGCACCTACAATATTGGGAGTAACGGAACCAGGAGGATGGGAGTCTGTATTATCCTGGTGAGGGAGGAAGAACTACTACCTGTCCATAGGATCCTCCAGGATAGAAGAAAGGCCCTCCCTGTGCAGAAGACAGAATGGGTTACTGGTTGATATCTGGCTACTCCTTCAGGGAAGGTTTCAGATGGAGTTGCTGAATAGGGCATTTTATCTGAATGTTTACCTGGTTACCAGAATATGTGCTGTATGAAGAACCTGGGGCTCCCTGAAATGAAAACACAGACTAGCTATTTTTTTGCAAATAGACTTTTACATAAATGAGTCCACTGTGAATTTCTTTATTCTTATTCTATTATTCTATATATAATATTCAATATATAATATTCTATTATTCTTTCAAAGAAAACTTTACAGCAAACATTAAAAGAGAATGCTGGTTTCATACTTTTTTTAGAGATAAGGAAACCTGTAGCAGGTTCTGTTATTTCCTGTTCAGGTTAAAAGATCTGAATAGCACTAACATTTAGTTTTACTCTAATTGCAGAATCCTATATCATACCTTGCAGACTTTGTATTTTCATAGATGATCATGACCTTTATGGTCTTTTTAAAAACTGCCAGAATACGGGACTTCCAAAGTGTAAAGAGTATTTAGGAGAGCATATTTTTCAGCTCACTGCTTAAAGGAGAAGACTATTTACCAGTTCCTAACATTCACTCTGTCATTTCCCTGTTATATACAAAACAGGGGAAGTATTATTCTATGGTTAGACTGCTTCCTCTGAGACTAATTTTAGACTAAGATCTTGTCTTTAAATGAAGCTTGGAGAAAAAGCAGAATAATTGCAGTGTGAGGAATTTGGGGACACACATAAGTAAACCCATTTTCTCCTTTGAAACCAGCTGGTTCAAATATGTACAGTTCTGACTCCTAATTCATAATATTCTCCAAGTTTGAAGAGACTTTTGTGTAACTCCCACCTTTTAAATCTAAAAGAAAGCTTTTTGCAAAAATTTTTCTCCTCTGCTGAAGTACCTTCAAGGAATCACAGAATCACAGAAGAAACTGAATTGGAAGGGACTCCAAAGGATAATCAGGTCAAACCCCTCATCCTGTGCAGGACATTCCCAAGAGTCACACCATGTGCCTGAGAGCATTGTCCAAACTCTTACTGAACTGTCAGACTGGTGCTGTGACCACTTCCCTATGAAGCAGATGACTCTCTCTTTTATGTAATATTTATTTAGTTTATTTAGACATATACATCTACCTATACCTTGCTTTTTTATTGTTATTAGAATGTAACCTATCATGGCCAATCTGTTTACATGCTACTGTTAGCACTGTAGCTACCATGTGTAGGAGGCCCTGGACAGAAAATTAAAATAAGACCACAAAAGCAAAGATCAAGTCTACATAATTTATCAGAAATTAATTTGATCAGCTGATAAGATTGCAAATTGGAAAATAAGTCTCTTGTGTATCAAAGTTGACACATCTGCATTGAGAACTGGTTTTCTAATCTGTCCAATTTTGATGTCTTATTTTCTTCATGTTGAAAATTTTTGTTGATACCAACTAAATACACTCTCCTCAATCAAGCTGTGCTAGATTTCTGTTGAAAACATTTTTTGCAACAATTAAAGCATGCCAAGAAAAATGTTTATTAGAATGAAAACACTTGCGTAAAAATCTCCACCTTTTTCCTTATAAATGGATTTTTTTTATACCATCATGCAATAAATAAAAAGTTTTTTCCTTAATAAAGTTTCAGTATTATTTATTTTAATAACCTAGTTTATGTTTTAAAGCATGTAGGCCATGATTATTGCTTAGGCTGAATTAGGTCAAAGAGGTAGTATTGTACCTGACTAAAATAGCTGTTGCAATATTTTAAGTTAATGAAATTAAGTTCAGAAAGCAGTAATTTCTCTATACAATTAGTTTGTTTAAATAGCTTGGGGGTTTTTACAGAAAGAATAATTCACAAAATGCTTCTTGTTGAAATCCAAAACTAAAAAAATACTACACCATTCAAGTGGGTTTAATTACATACAGCTTCAATAAAAGATTCAGAAGTATGTATCCTGGTAGAAGACAGGTTACTTTGAAATCCAAGGTGGCTTTAAAAGCCAGAAGCCTGGTAAAGCTAGTCTATAATGCCCACATAAGCACATTTCTTGGCCTTTTTCCTGGTCCAGAGTAATTGCCTAAGAGAAAAGTTTATCCAATGCAACTGACATTGAAATTTCTATGATTCTCTATAGGGGAAAGGACAGTTTAAATGCTTATTTAAGAGATTGTGTTTTGAGATATTTATCATATTTTGATATTTTTAGTCACAGTATTTTATTGCATCAGTGAGAAGGACAAGGAAACTAAGCTGGATACAACTAAGTACTGTGGTTACTACAAAGTATATTGACTGGATTTTGAAAACAATTAATAGATGGCACATAATAGTCAAGTGACAGAGCATGTGGATCACCAAGCATAGTTACAGAAAATTAGTGGTCAAATAGTAATTATGCAGCTAAGTGGAACTCATTCTTTCATTTAATTATATATACTTCTACCCATACTAAGGAAATCATCATTAGTGTTAACCAAATGTCCATATTTACAAGGTGATTAATTCAAAATACTCCATTATGTAGAAGGAAGTATAAACTCAGAAAAATAATTACCTGTCTATGACCGCTGCTTCCATCAGGACAAATGCAGCCACCCTACAAATTTTTAAAAAAAGGTGAAACAATTATTGCTTTGTGGAAATTTAAAATAAAATCTTATTTCAGATGCAAAACTGTTTAAGGGAAGAAAGTCTGTGGGACTGCAGAGAAGGTGTGACCTTTGCTGTACCTAGAACAAGTGAGGGGACAGCACAGTTAACCTTTGCTTTGGAAGTCAGTCTGATAGTGCATCTCTCAGTAGGATATCTCAATGGCAGATGCCTCAGCAAGAGAGAAGTTTCAGGTCAGGAGTATCCCATTGAGCTATCACCCATAAAACACATTATATTGAGACAGTGCTAAAAAGTTATTTCAGACAGCCATTTCTGATAAATTTAATACAAATAGGGTCACTTCATTTACAAATTAATGGATAGCATCACCAATCTTCCAATGTAAAATTACTTAAATTCCTATTTCTGAATTTAATTACTTTAATTACTCAGAAGCTATCTGAACAAGACTAGCTCAAAATAAAGAAAATCCTGACCTGATTACTTGATCCACTGGTTGCAATAAATGATCCACCCTGTGAAGGAAACAATTATGTTTTATTAAAGCATTTTATTAGAATCTAAAGTATAAAACTAAATAGTGAAAAATGCTATTACAAACTCTATTATTTCCCTGCACCAATTAACATAACCTGTTGAATTATTGTGAAAATATAGATTAGGATGAAACCTAATTAAGTGGCTTGATACAATTCACAGGGAATAGGCATTAGGGAAACTAATTAAAGAACCTTTCAGAGATCTGTCTGCAATATTGAATTAAACTTCAAACTCTCTGAGACAGAGGACTATGCTACTGTTAAATCTACTTAATACTGGGTGTAGTAGGATTTCAAACTCCTGGGAAGCTGTTGGGTACAAATCCAAGATATTAAGAAAAGCAGAACAAGGTACACTCTGTATCAGTTAAACTTCACATTAATTCTCTAATATAAACACTGCTGCAGCAGTACATAATCCTACAGAATATGAAAGTTGGACCTATTTTTGTAACAGAAGTATGTAATCCCTAAAATGTACCTACTTACCAAATGCAAAATGAAACTATGTATGGTCATTACAATCAAGAATGCAAAAATGTTTATAAAATAAGAATCTGAAACTATATAGTTTGTGTTTTTCAAATTGATTTTACAAAACGTTATGCAAAGAAACACCTGCTATTCTTATCTGCTTAGTGGCGTGAAGGAATAGAAGAATCTGTATATTGTAGGCCTAATATCACTATTTACAACTGTGCAAAATTATAACATTATAGGGAAAATGCTGTCAAATCAAAATAGAATCCTTCAGCACAGAAAAATTACTGGAATATAACTTTCAAAATGAAACATAATTTATCAGAAAACTCCTTGATATCAAACAGTTGACACTAGATTACTACCTGCATGTCAGAGTGGCTGCTATTTGAAGAAGATGCATTCTGTAAAGAAACAAAAAAAAATTACAGGTGTCTGTAAGGGTAAGAAAATAAAATGCATAGTTCTATTAGGAAAAAAAGCTACCTAACCCTAAAGAAAATCAGTTCTTTTTTGTGGACACTAGATCCTTCTGTTTTGTAGGTAATACACAAGGAGCTATGAGCTTACTACTACCAGCAGTAGCTCAGAAAAAGGGACAGAAATAGTTTACCTGTACATCATAGGCTCTTCTGCTTAAAACATGCGATGTGTCCTGTTAAAAAACAATAACATTTACAATTAGGAGATGAAAATTCCATGATCAGTAATAGGTTTTTTTTTCTTCCATATTATTTCTTAATAAGTGCTCCAGACCCATTTTTGTATACATTGAGTAGGAAAGCATTATTATAAAATAAATGCTATTTGCACATAGTTTTTATAGGCTACTGCTGAGTCTGACTTGCAACTATACAATACAGGTGTCTGTATCTCCTACACAACTACTGAGCACAATAAATTAGGAAACATTATTATTTCTTACTTATTATTCTGTCTTCCTTCAGCTAAAATGTTAGCTGTTCTTGTTTGTGTGATACTCATTTAATTTTAACTTAAGCTTGGACCAATTCTGTACGTGCTTAATGAAGAACAGAAATTTGAGCTGCCCTATACTTCAAAGCACAATTTTCATGTCTTTTTTTTTCATATATATACCTTCTTTAAAGAGATTCATCCAAAGACCAAATACCCAAGTAATTTTATTTTACTTTTCCCATATGTAGGAGGGTATTAACTACTATAAACGTGATTAGGGAAAATATAGGTATAATTAAGACAGGTTAGGTATAGCTGGGACTAAAATCCTACAAACAGGCAAAAAGTAGAAGAAAAAAAGTGTTACTTACTCGGGCAACAACAACTTTCTTCTTTGTACAACCAGAACGCTGCAAAGGAGCCACAAGCCTGTTAGTGCTTTATAGCTGTAGTTGTCTACATGAAATATTTAGCAAAAATCTACTACTTGTCAAGGTGATGTTTGGAAAAAGCAAAAAAGGCAAATGTCTGGAGATTTCCTTTTATCAGCAGTAAGACTATTTAAAAGCATATTCTTTGTCTGTTTTCAGTTTCTCTCTTCCAACAGAAGTTCCTGCTTAGGGGAGTCTCCCTCAGCTGAACCGCTGTAGTTTAGTATACAATCGGAATAAGGATCCTTTCTCTCTCTCTTTTTTTTTTTTTTTTAAAGTTTTTAGCATTCCCCGTCCTTCTTTGTGAGAAAGTTTAGAAGCAAACTCTTTTACAATGCAGTCCAGCCACACAGACTGGATGGAGATAACCAAGGGAATACTAACATCTTTCATGAACAAAGGAGGAGGTGAGTAGGCTCCTAAACAGGGCTTGCTGATGAAGGATTTTTTTTTCAGAACATTTTGAATTTAACCTAGTGCAATGCATTCAGGGTAAATACAAGCCAAAAACAAAAGATGTTTTCATAAGGCCTCTGTACTTTCTAAAATAAGTTTGGTGCAGTACTTAAGTCCTACAGAGGAAAAATAGGGAAAACAATGAAGCAGAATAGTGAATGGCTGAGAACTGAAAAGGCAAGCAGCTGATGACAGGTTACTCTAGATGGCAGTAAAACAAAAGGAGGCTGTGACAGATGGAATAAGCTTTATGAACAGAAACGAATAGAGAAAATGTAATTTATTTACACAATAGTGTATTTGCTTGGTCACAATCTATTCATGTTAATCACTGTTTCTGCTTGTAGGACAGATGGAAAATCTTGGCAGAGAAAGTAATAGTGGGTAATACCAGGCACAAATGTTACTTTACAATAGCAGCACGTAAGTAACATTAAATCTGAACAAGCGAGAAAAGCTTGAGATGGCTACATGCCTCATGTACACAGGTGGTTAATTCCCAAATTATCCAGTCAAAGTAGATCAATTTTGAAGAAAACATATATCTGATTAGAAGTAATTGTGCAGCAGCCTTGAGTACAGAGAAATCATTAACTTTTTGAAGAGTATTATAAAGTAATCATATACTAAAGGTCTAATATAGAAGTGTTCAGTTACTAACACTGTCATTAATCATTAGAATTTGAACGCTACAGAACAAACAAAGTGCTTACCTGACTATTGGCACTATAGGTAATTTCATTCTGGAAAAGAATACATGATGTCCCTTTTTTAAGAATTATTTAAATAAAGTAAGCTTAAAGAAAACAAATTGTTTCTGATGCTGCATACAGACATAACAAAAATTACTTATTGCTCCCATTCTCCACAGTTTTGTATAAATTAGTTTGAAATTCTACCATTCCAGTCTAAAAACATTGTAATAACCTTAGATTGGTACAAATGTAACATGAAAAGCGGTGGAATATCTGTCTCTTCTTCTTGCCTTCATTGTGTGTACTTAAAGGTTTTCTTGCAGTTTTGGGGGTATTTTTTAATTAATGTAAAATGCACCCTTAGATTTTACAAAAATATCTGTTACTACAAAGCCATTGAAATATTTTTATTCATATTTCATTTCATCAAGTTAAAAGCATTTAAAAACACTAACTGTATCTGTAAATATATATGTGAAAATTTTCAGCAAGAGGCAGTTGCTGAAACAGCTGTTAGTGTGGAAACTCAGCATTTTTTCTGGATCATTTTGCTCCAAAGACTGCATCTAGCAGAGCAATATTTTCTCATCTACGTGAAAAATGTTGTGGTGAAAAATATAGTGATGAAAATATATTAGGAAAGCATACTCACATCATCACAAGCATTGGGATTATTATCATATGAGGAATCTTGTGACTCCTAGAAGGAGATAAGATACCAGTTATTTTCTCACAAAAATTAATTGCTAAAAATACACTTTCATGTTTACTTTACAAGACAGAAGAGATACTCATGCAAAGAAGAAGCTGAGTCAAATTTAATTAGGATCTTTATAAGACAAAAAGGAGCCAAATCCATAGTTGCAGTAGCAGCTGACAGGGAATGTTCCAATCTTCAGTAAAGAAAAAAAACCCAGCAAAACAAATCTAAACCACAGAGAGCACAGAAACAATTACATTTTATTAGATCTTTGAGAAAGTTGATGCAGGGACTACAAATAATATGTAACTAGGAGAAAGAAATAATTACTTACCTGACTGTCATAATAGGTGTCTGAGGATGATCCACCCTTTAAAAGAAACAAAAAAACCAATCAAAATTGGAGAAAGTTAGAATATAGAAAACTTGATTTTGAGCAGAGGCTAAAGTTTATATGAAGAGATATGTAAGTAGTGAAATAGAGTATTACTTACTTGGCCACCACCATAGTTTTGTGAGTAGGATCCATCCTATGAAACAAACAAATATAAACTCTATTTCAGAAGAAACTGTGATTTGGTTCAGAGGCTGTAAAGCTAGAATAAACAATTTCCTAGGTTCTTTTTAACAAATACCATTTTCAAGACATCTGGATAAATTATCAAGTATTATAAAAATTCTTATCAGGAGAAAATCTGGTAAGGTTTTCTCTTACCAGAGAAAATCTACCAGGTGTCTACCTACCTGGTTATCACCATAATTTTGGGAGTATGATGATCCACTCTGCTAAGAAACAACAACAACAAAATAATTAGAATTTACATTACCATATTGCTGATCAGATATTGATCAATCATCACAGAAGTTAAAACCATCATAAAACCTCTGGGGGAGGCAATACTTACTTGGCTACCACCGTACTTTTGTGAGGAATATGAACCACCCTGTGAAAACAAAACAGCAATAGTCATAATGCTGGAGAGCTGAATTTTATCTGAAAGCATACAGATATCCTAAGTTGCTGAGTTCTATGGAAGTTCTATGCAACTTCCACTTTTATGTAAGTGGAATTTCAGAGCTGATAAAAAGTATGTTTGCAGAGAATGACATACAGACTGGACACTGAGAGACTCTGCAAGAGTCTATATCCCCATGAGCAAGAAAATTGTAGTGTGGATTAGATTTGCTTTAAAAGTTTTTACCAATGGATAATAAAGATGTACCCACCTGACCACTCTGTGATCCACCCTGTAAATCAGACAAAAATGCCTTAGAACTCATTGTTTGGCCATGGAATATTTTTGAAAGCTATGATACTTGCTTAGGAAGAGTAAGAAGCAGAGGCAGATATACAATATGGATATAATTTCTAATGTAATGAGCACAGATTGCCAGTAGTGCAATGGTAAATAGTAGATGAGAGATAAATCAAAAAAGTCAAACATCTAACTTTAACGTCTAGTGCACAGATGAGTTCCATTCTGAACACTCTCTAGAGAATGTATCATTTTTTTTCTCCCATAGAAAACCTAATTTATACAAATGGAATGAATTAATACAAATTCCCCTGGTAGCATTATTACACAAAGCTGTGACCTTTGAGATACAGTGGCCTTGAGGAAAAGGTTTTAAATAAAACACTTAGTATGTTTCAGTGTGCCCTCTTTATAGAGGAATGTAACTCCTTGTAGTGAAATCAGAAAATACATTTGTAGATGTTTTAGTGTCAAATTTGCATAAATAGAATAGTGAAATAATGAACTATTGAAGTAAGTGGGATATTTGCCATTCTCTAAAATGGGACTGAGGCTTCATTCAGAACAGTGAATGAAAAATTAAATGAAAAGTATTATCTTTCAATGTTCTAGAAGATTTTAGAACAAAATTTAAGCATTTTCTTTAGTCTTAAAAAGAACTAAGTCCTCTTAAGAAATTAAAAGCTATTATAAAATAATATCTACCTATTTAATATCTAATTCTGTCAAGTTACAATAATATATTACATACAGTGCATTGTATATGCTGTACCACATTATAATAATATATTGTAACAACTATATTGTTTTCATACTTATACATATAGTAAATATTTATATTCTATATATAAATATAGAATATATTTTTATATATAGTATATATATAACAATGCTAAAACACAGCATTTGTTGAAGCAATTAATCTGTCCAATTTTACTGTTTCTTGTGAAAACTCAGTAATAATCAAAAAAAGTATCATGAATAAAAAGGAACTAATCTGTTGCCATTTTCTGCTTAATTTTTAACATCACAGATGACTTCTTTAAACTTAGCTGACATCTTTTAGGATAGTGGTTTGTACAGCTCCACTTGTAACAAATACACAGGTGGCTATCTATAGTTTACTGCACAAACTCAGTTTGTTTTGGGGACCTTGAGTGGTGGTTCTAAAATATTTTCTGGATTTTGACAGGAAGAGAGAAGCTGGTGAGCTCCAGCCTTGATTTAATTCATGCCAGTGAAACAACTCTGCAGCAAACTTCTTCTTTCCAGAATCTGGCCTTAATGTTCTATAGAATTAGACATTTCAAAATGTAATGCTAGGAAAAAGTGGCAAAAAAGACTTCAAAGCCCCCGTGACACTCCTGTGAATAGGAAGATAGTGAATTCTAACCTCAAAATGTGTAAGTTTACATGGATTTGTGCAATATGAATCTGAATTTGGAACTAATTGGTTTAGTGGCAAAACTAATTTCTAATGCACCCTAAAATAAGAGGAGAAAGACCATTTACCTGGTGGCAGGGATTGCTATCATAGGAGACACCCTGTCAAAAAACAACCAAACATCAAGGTAAATGCCATTTTTCTTGCAAAGTAATTAGCTTCCTTAAATTTTCCTAAGTGAGAATCGGTGTAACAAAACTCAACATATAACTTAACAGAGGGTGAGTTTAATTTTACTTAACCCTTTAAGTGGGTGGCTTTACCCTCTGTCACTCTCATACCCCCATACAAGCATCAAGACACTTGCACATAGATGATCAAAGAAATACTTGTGAGCCACATGGAAAGAGGTAGGTTGATAATTGATGTCCCTCTGCATCATCCTAGTTCCTCTTGATTGGTGAAGATGAACTGCTGGTGGGGTTTTTTGGAAGTAACTGTTACAGCTGGGTGACCATCTATCTAAATGTGACCATCAATCTCAGGCTAGATTCACCACCATGGATTTTAGGCAAGGCTTCTGTTCAGAGCCATTCATTTGCCTGGGTATATTTTGTGAGAACAGGATGAAGAGCAGTACACAGAGAGAGTTCTTTCCTGTTTTACACCCTCCCATGATTACAGCAATTCTTTTGATAAGTCAACCTGTGACACCACATAGTGGAAATCACCCATTCTTCAGTGTTTATCAGTTTCATTGCTGGTAACTGTGTCCTTGTTGTACTGCTCCTTGTGATGCTTTCAGATGCATTTCCATTCATGCAGAACTTACATCAATCCTAATACTTCTTCTAAAAATGCCTGGTTTTATACTTATCCTTCATTCTGGTTGCTTTGGTCAATATATTTATTCAAAGGTAGGTTTACTATTGGCCTCATTTATGCTGCTTTCACCTAGGATCTCATCATCGAAGACATTGTCTTTACACCATTTTAGACATACAAGTTGAAATTAAACCAGGATGAAAACTACTAATCTAATTCTTATTCCATTTGGGCCACTCTCCAGTCCTATCATTTTCTAGAGAAAATAAATGGAGTAACATCCAAAAATTCCTGTGCAAAGGTTTTATATTCTTATTGAGGAGACAGATGAGCTGTTTGTTTTCCATGTGTAACTCTAAATGGGAGGAGCCACTTCATATTGGTTACAATGGCAAACAATATCAGCATTTCTTGACCTCTGTGCTAGATAAGTTCACATAACAATGAAAACAATAGATTTCAAACTAAGAAACATTATAAAAACATGTTACTATTGTAAAGAAAGCTCAGTCTGGTTTTTAAACAGTTTGGAGAAAACATCTTACTTGTCCACAACCACTGCTGCCACCGTAAGAAACAGATCCACTCTGCTAGGAAAAAAAAAGAATAGCTCATGATCCAAATATTCCTATTCTCCTTGTATTTTAACACACATATGAATTTTCAATGGCTTTAGCTGTCAGACTTCTTCAAACCCAACTATATCCTACTGTGCATTATCTGGTAAAGTGCTGAGTATGTTGAATACTAAAGTGCATCAGAAAGCTGACACCTGCATGTACTCCTTTCTACAGGGGAAAATGATGCTCCAGTGAGACTATTGTTGCCAGAGCCATGTGAAAAAAAATTTATGGGAATTAATTCTAAAGAGTTACTTACTATATTATTTCAAGTAACAAACCACAGAATTCTCAATATGTATATGGGAACATCACATACATGCTCTATAAATGACTGACAATTACCTGTCCATAGGAACTGCCACCTTGAGGCTGGTAGCCCTGTAAGAAAGGCACAAATTCATTTGTAAAAAGAGCTGTGTAAGTGTAGTCCCAGCACAGCAGCAACAGAATCACAGAATACCAGAAAGAAAAGCCCACTTCCATTAAAGGTCCTCTGTACTATGCTATTTTTTCCCTCATGCTATTTCAGTGGTAAAAAACCAAGTCAAGGACCTCTCAGAAGGGGGGAAAAAAGCCCACACCCCAAAGCCCATTTACAGGACAGGCTCCTACAGAAAAGCTCAGCACATTTCAGCAGCAAAGTCTCACCTGGCTATAGGACTGGCTGCCTTGGGAACTCTTTAAATAAAGAAGAGATAATTAACACCTTGACAAGGAGGCTTCTTTAAAGAGCATGATGCATATGGAAATACAGATGCATGCAGAATTCCCTGAAAGGTTCTTCCTGTGCCAAAGGACACAGAGCAGCATGCTAACAGCTGGACATCTGTGCAGCACATTGCCCTACTCTCAGCAGCAGCCACAGCCCAAGAGTCTGAAGCACAGACTGCCAAAAGAAACATCACTCTCAAAAGTCTGCCAGTCATGCCAGAGAGATCAGTGAAGAATTTCCTGCAGAACAACCAGTTTGCTTACCTGGCCATAGGAGCTGCTGCTGCTGCCTGAGAAACTTGGTCCACCCTAAGACAAGGACACCATTTGGTTACTTCCCTTTCAGTAAGGGATCCAGCCTGCATTAGCAGCAGCAAGCAACTACATCCTAAAGCCATGCAGGGCAGTACGCAGAGCCAGGCGTCTTCTGGCTCTCAGGAGGATGCCAAGTGTGAGGATTTCACACACTGGCACTCCAGATCAACAAGTAGCATATGCATAAATGTTGAGTGAGAAGAGACACTTTCAGAGACAATGTCCTTTAAAGTTCATATTCTGAAGGACTGCTAAGTGCCTTTATGGTGCTTCATTTCTGAAATGCTCAATTCTGACTGGTGACGGACTGATGCTTACCTGACCATAGGAACTGCCACTTTGAGGTTTGTAGGCCTGTATGAAATTAATGATTGATTCATAGTTATTGTATATGTGAAGCAGATGCCTCTCTAATGTCTATTTTTGGGGTAAGAAAACAGAATAAGACTACTGCTTAACTGGAGTTATTTTGATGTTTCTTATTCTGGGGAAATAGTTGATCACAGTGTGTTTACTGAGTGACAATCATAGAGCAGAGTGACATCTGTCTCAGACATTATTCTAATCTTATGAGAGTTTTCCAGAAAGGGACACAACATTTTCTGATTATATTTATTTTTCCTTCTGTTTTTCAGCCAATGGGCTGACATGGCTAATGTTGCATACTAGATGAATATTGATTTCATATATTCATATTTTTCCTTGGCCCCAGTTGCAAAGTTCCTGCCTCTGAAAGAAAATCAGGGTGAAAAATAATTTTTAAAACTTAGAAAATAATCTTAGAAAAAATGTAGGTTCATAAAATGAAAACAAACCAATGCAATTCAAAGTAGCAGATGGAATAAATTTGCCATGGATGACCACACTTTTAAAAATATTATCAGTAATATAAAGGTATTGTGGTTGCAACTTGCTGTTGCAATTTGCTTTCAATATAATCTCAAAACAGAGCAGTTGTTTCATGTACATGCAGACCTGTGCCCAGCTGCCTGGGAGAGTTATGAAAACAGGGATTACCAAAAAGTATTTGAAGTATCCTGCCTATCTTTGTCATCTGACATAGAGATTATGACAAAATTAATAGCTATTTTAGGGCTGCTTTAATTTACATAAAAAATGTGAAGGGAGGTAGACATTCATTTGCTGCAGGCTCCAAGACCAACCCTTCATTCAGCTGAAAACCTGACCCCATATTCTTCAGTTTCTCAACAAAACTTCTCTGCTGAGAGCAAAACAGGCAGCAAGAACTGACTATAAATTTGTGACTTCAACTGGAATGGGAACATCCTCAAAAAGACTATTTCTACCACAAATTTATAAAGTTCCAAACCCATGGTAAAGGTAAGATAGCAGAAGAAATCTAGGATTCCTGTATCTATCCATGAAAATCACAATGATCACATTCCCAACAAAATATTTTAAATGGATTCAGAGATACATTGGTTAAGAATTCCATATGAGTTGAAAACAGAACTTTTTAAAATCTGGTAACTTTTCAGGGCAATGGCACTTCACATTCCCAAATGTTCTGTTCTGACTGACAATTACCTGTCCATAGGAACTGCCACCTTGAGGCTGGTAGCCCTGTAAGAAAGGCACAAATTCATTTGTAAAAAGAGCTGTGTAAGTGTAGTCCCAGCACAGCAGCAACAGAATCACAGAATACCAGAAAGAAAAGCCCACTTCCATTAAAGGTCCTCTGTACTATGCTATTTTTTCCCTCATGCTATTTCAGTGGTAAAAAACCAAGTCAAGGACCTCTCAGAAGGGGGGAAAAAAGCCCACACCCCAAAGCCCATTTACAGGACAGGCTCCTACAGAAAAGCTCAGCACATTTCAGCAGCAAAGTCTCACCTGGCCATAAGACTGGCTGCCTTGGGAACCCTTTAAATAAAGAAGAGATAATTAACACCTTGACAAGGAGGCTTCTTTAAAGAGCATGATGCATATGGAAATGCTCTGTGCCAAAGGACACAGAGCAGCATGCTAACAGCTGGACATCTGTGCAGCACATTGCCCTACTCTCAGCAGCAGCCACAGCCCAAGAATCTGAAGCACAGACTGCCAAAAGAAACATCACTCTCAAAAGTCTGCCAGTCATGCCAGAGAGATCAGTGAAGAATTTCCTGCAGAACAACCAGTTTGCTTACCTGGCCATAGGAGCTGCTGCTGCCTGAGAAACTTGGTCCACCCTAAGACAAGGACACCATTTGGTTACTTCCCTTTCAGTAAGGGATCCAGCCTGCATTAGCAGCAGCAAGCAACTACATCCTAAAGCCATGCAGGGCAGTACGCAGAGCCAGGCGTCTTCTGGCTCTCAGGAGGATGCCAAGTGTGAGGATTTCACACACTGGCATTCCAGATCAACAAGTAGCATATGCATAAATGTTGAGTGAGAAGAGACACTTTCAGAGACAATGTCCTTTAAAGTTCATATTCTGAAGGACTGCTAAGTGCCTTTATGGTGCTTCATTTCTGAAATGCTCAATTCTGACTGGTGACGGACTGATGCTTACCTGACCATAGGAACTGCCACTTTGAGGTTTGTAGGCCTGTAAGGAAGGTAAGAAGATATTTGTAAACCAAGTTGTGTTGTCTCAGTGCAGCAGCAACAGAAAAGTCCATTTCCTCTGTACTCTGTTAAAGTTTCCTTCATGATATTTCAGTGATACAAACCAAAATTAAGCACCTCTCAGAGACATCAAGAAAGGAAGAAAACTGCCCATCCCCTGAAGCCCATTTACAAGACAGGCTTTGACAGAAAAGCTTAACACATTCCAGCTACAAAGTCTCACCTGGCCATAGGACGGGCTGCCTTGGGAACCCTTTAAATAAAGAGAAGATAATTACCACTTTGACAAGGAGGCTTCTTTAAAGAGGATGGTGTTTATGGAAATACAGCTGCATGGGGATATCTCAAAAAATACAAAGGAAATAGAGCAGTGTGCTAACAGCCCTGCAATAGACTGTCCTATTCTCATCAGAAGCCATGACTGCCAACCTTGTGTATATCGAATATTTGTTGAGCAGTGGCCTCCCTGTGGCCCTGATCCCTAAAAGTCATACCTACCCTTTTGAAACAGTTTTCTGTTTGCATGTAGTGCTACAGAGAATATTGACAGTTTTGCATCCCTCCTACCTCCAGCCCTCAAGAGGAGGAAGACCTAAAGGGTCTTCATAGTTGAGTTCATGCTATCAATATCCTTAAGTTTTGGTTTGCAATAATTTATGATGTCACTGTGTATTTTCTAAAATTCCCTCACTTTTTTTTTTTTCACACAAGTTGCTTTATCTTCATGGCTTTAAGCAATGCTGGAAGACATTGCACATAGTTCCATGATTATGATTTTTCGTCATTCTTGATATGGCTCAGCAACTACCCTTTACAACTTTTGGAATTTGAGGTCTAATGTGCATGGGCTCTGAATCTATCAGTATGGGGCTGATGGTGTGGTAATGAACCTAGAGTTACTTCTTCCCTTTGTGCTCTGAATGGAATACACTCATTTCATGTCAGCCTATCACACATGGAAATGCATCTGTGAGCATCATGAACAAAATAATTTGAACACCAACATCAGATGGTATTTTTATGAGCAAAAGCCAGGGAAATAGAAATACCTGCACCTGTGAAATCCATTTTTAAATGCAGAAAATAATTTATTTCTAAGTTGTGCTGGGCCCTGTTGTAGTAAAGTCTAGAATATTTATAACACTTTTTAAGTTTTCTTACCTGAATATAAGTACTGCTGCTGGTTTGCTGTTTTTGTCCACTCTGCTTAGGAAAGAAATAAATGGTTATTTATTTTTAAGAGTAATTTCTTATGCACTAAGGTATTTCAAGAAGCAACTCTGTCCATCTCTCTGCTAGACAGTTTGAAAGCCACAAAGAGTTCATGACACCCTTTCTTACTTCATGCCATCTCCACGTGCTATAAAATGTATATAAAAATCCTACACAAATAAAGTGTTAAAAGTATTTGTATATCTTGATATGATTTTCTTAATGAAAATTAAATGTATAATACATCTTTGTGTCATATTGTGCTATTTGAAGTGAGTTAAAATAATTCGGCCTTTCAAATGTACCTCACAAATTGCCTTAAACTCTTTTTTTATTTGTATTATGACAGATTTTTTTCATTAATAAGCACAACAAACTTTTGGCAAAGGCTTTCCCAAAACAAAAATTGAAAAATCCACAGTTACAATTTAATGTAAGGAAAAGCCACTGCAAAATGTATTTTGATTTCCACAAAATATGTGGATTATGAGAGGAAAAAATATTTTTTATATTTACATATTGAAAGCAGTTAACCTACATAGTCAAAACACTGTGCATTTAAAGTCAGAAATAAAATAACAAGGAAATATTTTTCCTTTCTTTGCCGGCATTCATCACTAGTCAAGGAAGACAATAATGCTACGCATTTTGAAAGCAATGGCTTCAGAAAGACAAAATTCAGCTGGGATAACTTGTGACTGATCTTTCAATGAAAGTGAGAATTTGTTGTAGTCTGATGGACTAGCATCTAATGGACTGACTAGTCATTAAGAGTGGGATGGATGCTAAAATGGCAAACAAATATGTCTGAATGATATTCATAATACTTTATAAGCATATTTGTAATGAGATTAGATTGCAATCAACTTTCAAAGTGCCTGGTTATCAAGGAGCAACATTACAGATACAACAGTTCACCTAAGCATTAAAGGCATTTTACATGTAAAAATATAATTCTGAACTGGGTGTTTCCATTAAAGAAATTGACTGTTTAAATGAAAATAGAACTGTGCAGGTTGCAATTTGTACTTGCTTTGATACAGAGTAACATTCAAGCTTTATTTCTGGAATTAAATCCCTCTTCCTGAGCAGACCGAGACAGTCAAATTTTGCCAATTTTGAGAGCACAATGGAATTTGCATACAGAAGGTTTCAAATTTTTTAAGTGTGGAAAACAGCTGCAATAGTCTTTATTCAGCAACCAGTGAAGAATCCCCTTTGCTATAGTCACAGAAATGCCCAACTCCACCACTGTAGTTTGTGGACATCTAAGATAATTCTAAGTTATCCACACTTATTTGTTCCCTAAGAGAGGAATTATTACTTAGTTTACTCAGATAAATCCTCATTTAAAACTCAAGTATAATGGAGAAAAAAATGTCTACCTGTACTATGATCCTTGTAGCAGAGCTTCCCAAACTCTGAAAAAAAATAAATCCAGAAACAAAGAGACATAATACAGCAGATTTAATTGACTTGTTTAATGCAGTGCACTAGAACAGAAAATACTAAGTTAAATTATTTAGTTCGTGAGAATAGAGGGAAAGGTTGTATGTGTTATGTACTGTGTATCAGTTCTTAACACCCAGCATTAAGCTAGTTTATTCTCCGTTCTGAAGGTTTGGGGATGCAGACTGACCCTACTAAGTAATTTTCTACTCTTACATTTTCTGTGGAGACCAGCAGAGCACAGGTTTTGTGCATCTCCTTTCTGCACTAGCAGTCAACTTGTCTTTTCCAAATGTGGGGAGGGAAGCTGAGACATCATCACCCCTCCAACCTGTTTCACTGTCACCTGCACTGCACGTACATCAACACATACAAACCCTCTTCCTCATCCTGGCATTTTTTTGCTGAATTCTGGGGCATGAGGGACAAATGTAAAAGAATAGCACACACCATCCTGAGACAATTGGTTTGAACCCATAAGAACTATAATGGTACTTACAGGAATCAGAATGAAAAGTATTCTTACCTGAGGGAAGGTGTGACGCTGCAAAGAACAGAAAAATCTTTCATTATTTTGCACAAGGGCTTGCCCAAACAGAATATTGCAGCAGAAAAAGGGAAAACGGGCTCTCATATTTCAGATGTGATAAATAGTGGAATGTGAAGGAATGATATAAAAAGGATGATAGAGAGCAAGTGCATCTTAACCTTTATTCAGGTTAGAACAATATGTTCTATTAGAAATTAAACAAATATAAAATATTACATTGTAAAGCTCACTTTCAAGTACCTGAAGGCTAAACTTAGTCTTGGTTCCAAGTAAGCAGAGTGGAAATGTAATAATTTAAAAATGAGAATGGAAGTGAACTTTCAGAAGAAAATTGCAATAGAAAAAGAAAATCAAAATTATTCAGGAGCACAGAGACTGCGTACATGGAGGGACCTGGTGTCTGCAGTTAATCCATTGTCCCTACAAGTATTAACAGCAATCACAGTACCACAAAGCTTGTACCTATCTTATGATAAGCCTTCCCTGAAGATAACCATACACATAGAGTAAATCCTGCCTGCTAAAAAATTGTCTCCTGTAATATTTCTGAAAAATTAAAAACTTAGATATTTTAAAGTTTTTAAGTCAAAATTATTTGTAGAGAAAACGTGTATTGTAGCAAAAAACAGCTTACCACAGGTGGAAAAGGGTTGCTGTTGGCAACGACCACTACCTATGGAGAAACCAGAGGCAGCTGTTAACTTGCCATAGAGATTATTTAAGCTTTTCAATATGTCAGAAAAATGAAGAATACTAAAATGTGTAAATTTACAAACTCTGATAATAATGCTATGGAAGATCCCCTTTCATAAAATAGTATTTTTATTAAAAAAATCAATGCACATCACCAAGCAAAGAATGATACATATTTATACATAGTTTACCCAAGAGTATAACCAGATATAAGATTTGCCCCAAACCACATAATGACTCAACCATAGAGGCAGAAGCAAGATTTCATGTCTTGTACCATATCTACTGGCCTGAACTGTGTGCCCTTTTTGATCCTCAACTTTCTACCTCAAACTAGAACATCAATTTATTTTGTCTTTATTCAGTATTAAGCTAAAAAATAAAAAGTGCTTGATACTGAATTCATTTAAAAAAAAGAAAATAACCCAAATGCAATAATTGTATCTTCTGCTGTGTTGTTTCCTCATTAGGAGTGCTCCTCACCTCTAAGAACCAAACCAAATCAAATCATATGAATTGATCTGAGTTAAAACCTTTAAAAGCCTTGACTGAAATAACAGGAGTCATGCCAAGTTATAACTGTAAGAATTTTTCCCTTTGGAAAAAAAGAGGCTTTTCCCTTTGGAAAAAAGGCGGGCTTACCTTCTTACTGGAATCTGAACTGCTTGAAGGGACAGACTGTAAAGAATACAGAATTCATTTGTTGCTTAGGTATGGCAAATTAACAACAGTGCTATTCTCCTTATACTAACATGATACTCCTGAAGTACCATCAAAGTAAGAGTCTGAAGAAAATGAGTGTACTGGCAGTTAATACATGAACAAGTGCAATAAATCAGCTGGTTTTATTTTTTTCTAAAAGCCAAATTATTTTGCTAGTTTTATAGAGTACTGTATGAAAGCTGCAAATGTTTCATCTAACATCAAACTGGAAGTTTGTTTGTAGTAAAAATAATCTATCAGTAAGAAAAAAAAAAAGCTCTTCTACCTTAATAAAAAAACCCAGACAACCCAAACTCCAGGACAATCTCCTATAAACTAGAAAAGCTACCATTGCAATAGAATCTGGAAAAATTGGGATATGTCATAACAATAAATTATTTAAAGTTTAAATAAATTATTTAAATGAAGTGTAAAATAATGTGATGTTTTGCATTTCATGAACCAGTAAGTACAGTTGCATAAGCAAAAACCACTTTTAAATTGTAAAATAGTTTTAGCTCTTTGTAGGCATCAAAAAAAGCACTGACTTTTGGAAAAGCATAATAAAAGTAACTGGTGTCCATTTATAGAATAAATATAATTGATTTTTGGTGGAAAATAGAAGTAGGGATATAGGAACAAACACCAAATATGTAATTCATATGATGAAGTTATTTCCAGATATGATAATTACTAAATCGTTTGAAGACAATTTGCCTTTATTCCCTTCCACAAATTTAATTTTTGTTTGGTATATTTGAGCAAAACTGCTTAGCTTTTGAATACCTGAAGAAGCTAAAAACATGTTGGAAAACACACTTACCTGGCCATAAGTAATACCACTGCTGGATAAAGATGCACTCTGAAATAAAAATATAGATCAGGTATTTATTTATACAATAATTTGCTAATTATTAATTTGTTTTCATGTGAAAATAAAATAAATAAGATGGAAAATAGAAATTTCTCTACTAATCAAAGAGTTAATATGCAAAGATTGTAAAAAACCCCTAATAATATTCCACAATATGCAACATCCAAAGACAATGATTTTACCTGATAAAAAAAATTGCACAGTAAGAATTCTGACATTTTAGTAGGGAAACAAATTAAGACTTTCTAGTCAGTGATATTATCTATCACCTATGTGTACACCTTAAAACATAAATGATTGGGCTTTGACGAACTGGCAGTGTAAAACCTTTTAATTTTTAGTTTTAATCTCAGAATAACACCATAAGATAACACTATTTTCCTGAATATATTTAGGAAGACTTCAATAGCTCTACAGAAGAGACTCAAAGGCAATTTGCAATAAGGAGATCAGTTAAGGAGCATAGTAGGAGACAATCAGTAAAAATATCTATAACCAGCTTACATCTCTGCAGGCTTGTTGGCTGTATGCACCAGCAGCACCTCCCTAAGACAAAAAAGAAACCAGTTATTTCTCAGCAGTATTTCCTTTTTGTAACAGAGACTCCCACAAGAACATTAATTAAATAATGCCATTGAAAGCTAGGAGTTACTATGAATATAGTTATTCTGGGGACAAAAAATAAAATGTAAAAATAGTGCTTACAGGGCCACATCCACTCTTGCTTATTGTGTAGACTACTCCACCCTGAAATAAAAACAGAAGTCAATTATTTCCATATAAAAAACTCATATAGGCAAGACAGAAGAAACCCAATGCCATGCTGTTTATGGCATGAAAAGCTGTGCAGCTGGCAATGTGTATGTGCAAGCAAGGGATAAGCAAATAAAGAGGTTACCCCTTCACTGGCATTGCCTGTAATAATTCTAATTTAGTGTGAGACATTAGTCATCATCTGTATTTCATATAAATTTCATCAGCTTTGTCACTGGTCATAAAATCTTTCAAAAATTTACTGAATGGCTCATATTTTATAAAAAAAATAGTAACTTTAAGTAGTTATATAACAAGATGAGAAACTCAAAAAATACAAGGAAGAAAACCAGGTTTTAGCATATATATCAAAATAATTTGTATTTCTCTTTATCTGGCAAATCATTATGAGCAGTAAAGATTGAAGAAATGGAACATTACCATATAATTCACTAATAAATATAACCACTAATAAGTAGTAAGAAATATGTCTTTGATAAGCTCAATTCAAGAAACTGGAGACATACCAGAAAGTATCTAAAAGTTAAAGAGAAAATAAGTGTATTAATGATGCTGGAGATCAACGAAAAACCAAGCATATATTGTTGTGATTAATGAAGCAAAAGTGGTGACAATGCAGACACGCATACCCCAGAAGTTTTAAGAGTCTAAGTAGACAGTGATATCCCCAAATTTTCCAGCTGCAAATATAGTCTGGTGTTAAAAGCAATGCAGACATTAAACTGGAGAAAGCTGTTGAGTTCAACAGAGTGGAGGTAGTCGAACTTAGGTACAAGCATACTGTTTGCTGGATAAATACCTCTGCCATTCTGTGTTAACTAGCAGAGAAGAGATTTCAGTACAGTATTATATCACCTCACTACTCTGTAGTTACAGAATTTTAGTGATTCAAGGTTACTGAAGGAAAACATACAAATGCTGGAAATTTAGGACTCATACCTGACTGCCTGAATAGGTGCTCTGAGAGGAACTGGAAGGTCCAACCTGCAAAGAAAACAGACTGGTATTTATTATCTTGATGAAAATTTATTTTTATATAAGTGATTTTCAGGAAAAGAAATTCTACTTGGTGGGAAAAGGAAGAATCCACAAAGTAGTTTTCTATGACTTCATTCCACCAACTGATACTATTAAAATTATTTCAGAGAACTTTCAAGACAAATAAACAAAACTGTGCCAATCCAGCTGTATAAATAAGATAATTCTGCTGCTTGCATCCTTTTTTATCTGACCTCATACACTTGATGTTCACCATTGAGGAGGAGAGCTACGCTATAACAATCATTAAAAAGTAGATGGAAGATTTTTACTAATATGACTATGTAATCTTTAGCATATTTGCTGTAAAAAAGCAAAGAACTGAGTGCCAGTGATAGGTTTCAAAGGAAAAAAATCAAATAGCTGCATTTTATATCTAGATAATGATTTGCAAAAGGCAAGGTTTTTGAGCTGTTCAAATAAGTGATCTTGAACAGCAAGAAAACACTAAGAATAAAGTGAAAAGAGAAAAAGGAAAACTTCTATTACAGAACTACTTCAGATAAGCAGAAAGAATCTGCAGAAGGAAATGGTAACAAAGCTGACAACCCTTTAGACAGTTTTGGATTTTAAATCAACAAAGATAAACTAACAAAAAGAAAATGAAATTGAGTGACAAGGGGAATAAAGACATGTCTAGAAGCAGCTTTTGACCAGGCCTTGAGATCTTGGGCAGTTAACAGCATGTCAGTGTCTTTGGAGAAAGAATATTTACCATGATGCACCGGCCTGTTGAGTAGGTCCCTCCACGCTGCAAGAGAATACAAGTTCCAGTTACTGTTTATTGACTGGTGTAAAAATATCAAATTACTTTAAACAGGAAATCAACTGAATTCACATTGATGGTCTGAGTGAAGAAATCAACAATTTCATTGCTGACAATATATTACACATTTTAACAATCTCATCTGCAAACTGATGTTAACTAATTCAAAATAAAAATACATTCAAAACTGAATACAAAAATGAAAGCATGAATGACATCTTGCTAGGAAAGTAATTTGAATGGTACAATAGAATCTTCATGCTACAAGAGTGAAAAAACTGGTCCAGTAGGAGAAGAATTCTAAAGCTGAGGTAACTGACATTGGGAAATAGAAGAAAAATTGCTCTTACCTTGTTGCATTCTAATTCTATCATAAACTGTGGGGGGGAAAAAAAGAGGAAGCATTATTTACTGAAAAAAAAAAAAAAAAGGCATCTTATTATAGGGAACAGAAAACACACTTGGTGAAGTGAGAGACCTAAGACAGGTGTTCACTCTTGGTTACATCGCAAGTTCACATAAATCAGTGCTGGTGCAGTCCAGTGCAGTAGATTTGAGGAGACTTTCTTTACTTGAGCTTACAATGATTAATATGTTTCATATAAGCATAATTCCTGGCAAAAATATTTACCAACTCCTTTCAAGAATATGCTACAGTTACAGTTCCCAGGGGCTGGTGCAGCAGTTAAGAACAGCACTGTACCTCAGAAGTACAGTACAGTTCTCCTTATAACCAATTTTATTTTCCTTTTTTTTGCTTTAGGACATGGATTGGTTTGATAACTAGATTATTAGTTTCCTCATTTCTGTTGGAGAAAAATAATACTCACTTTATTTTTCATCATTTTAATAAGAGGATTAGGTAGTTAAATTAAAATTATTAAAAACATCAAATTATATTGGCCATCTTAGTTAATGAATAAATAACAACAAGTGCTTATCTTGTATCAAGCCAAAGATACCTTAATTACTCTATTAATATCTATCATTCAAATACACTGAAACGTACCTTCCTTTTACTTTTTCCTGTCACGTTAACTGACTCAGAATGCGTAGGTGTGAGAGTTTTGCTTTGAATTCCAACCCAAAAGTTCTCTAGATTTTGAACAACAGTTGCACTAGAAAGAAAACAAAAAAAATTATTTTCTATCAAAGTATTTCAATAAAAAGTACTAATAAATTCTCGTCCCCCTTTGCTCCCACCCAAGAATACCTCCTCAGTTCTGGTTTTAAGTGTTTACAGCACAAGTTTCACAGAATGCTTTTCCTTCTAGTGACTTGCATTGTCATCCAGCATAATTTTGAAGACAACTAAAACAGATGCTGAGAACAAGCAGAAGAGGAATAGACACTGTTTGAAGTAGCACTGACTCCAGGGAGGAGCATTGGCACAAATGTCCATAAGAATTGTCCCACATGCTCTGACAATGTTTCTGTGATGGTGAACTGATTCTCATGACAATAACAAGTGGAAGCAATTGTAGTTTTGTATACTTTTTCCTGTTCTTGGTATTCCTCAAGAATTAACGAAGCACGATAAAAATGGCCCTATCAAAAATCTGCACTTCAAACAATACAAGCTGTCAAGTATTTAGGTGTTATCCAATATACTTCAAGCATGCATTTGTTAGAGTAGGTGGTCTTTTTACAAGCTTCACATCTGCAAGAAATGTTGCATTAAAAGTAGGCCAAATATGTCTTCTCCTGTTTTCAGAAGTCAGTTCATAGGTCATACACTTACTTTAAAATTTATATTAGAAGAATTTACATCAAATTATTATCCTGCCACTGTTCAAAATGAAGAAATGTATAACTGAATAGAGTCTGAATTTCATTTTTTCAGGGAAGGAGTTACATTCATATGTTGTTGCTGTTATAATTAAAGAATTCAAAGTGTAAAAAATGGCTACTTGAAGATCCATTAATAACATTATGCTTAATGGAACTATTTACATATATTACGATCTTTAGGACTTTAACTTTTACAATTATATCTTGAAATGGAAATCATATTATTTAATGAACATGATGTGAAGTTATAGGAAATTATGGAAAAGAACTCTGATGGACAAGAATATCTGAAACAGCCATAAAGGTCTATCTCAACTCAGAAATAAAATTTCAAGGCAAAAAGATAAAAGAAAAACAACTATTTACATAAATTGAAGCTCTCTAACATTATGTGGAGAAATCCATGTTGTTGTAATCTTCTGTTTCACATCTGAATTGGCATGACTTACTGCTGAATTCTGCAATTAAAAAGAAATACATAAAATTGTATAAGATGCAAGAGTGACTTTTAGCTGTATTATTACAGAAACTGTCTCTACTGCAACAGGTAACACTGATGTCCTACTACAAAGATCTGGGGAATTTCTACCTCCGGTTTGTACCACATATAAAGGATAGATGGGGTTCTTGAGAAAACCTTTTAAACTTTACTGATGAAATAACTTTGCTGTATAAAGAATGATCCCTACTTCTATTATTTAAAAGAAACCCAAGCTTCCAAAAGTATTCCAAAGACTGCACACATACCGTCACGTTATGACATTCCAAGCCTTTAGTGTTTGGATCTGTAATTTTAAAAGTACCAACAGGAACATCTCCATCTATTTCTCGAGCTTGTAGATTAAATCCTTTAAACCCAGCATCTCCAAGTGCTTCTAGAGTTACTGTGAAAAGAGGCATTTTGAGAAATTTAAATTTCATATACCACTAAAACTGCCTAAATGTTTACATTGTAATTTGTTTCACTCCAGGGCACAAGATTGCATTGTGCAGAATGTTGCACAGTGCAGAAATTAGTTTAAGCCCTGTAAAATTCTAAAAAAGCCATTGAAAACACTTTTCTTAATTCTAAGAAGAATGACAGTAAAGGTAAAGGAAACTATTTGGAAAGGCGCTTCTCTGTAAAGTAACATGAAATTTATGATTTACTGACAATTACTGACAAAAAAATTTACTGACAAAAAGAATTCTGCTCTACTAAATGAGCATTGGCCTTTCTGACCAAAAGGTTTTTTATTTTCTAATTAGGCCTACAAAGTCAAAATTGCTACAGGAGGAGAATTGCATTTCTTTCTACCTCTGCTTTAAAAGAAAGTATTAGCTTTTGCATAAGGCTGAAATGTAGAAACTTTTTCATGTATTACAGCTGGAAAGATAGGAACTACAGTTTGGCTTCCATGTTCTACATTAAATATGAAAAGTTAATAATTATATGAGATAATCAATATTACTCAAATTTTGCTACTGAAGGAGTTCAGAAAAATATATTAGAGAGCAGTTTCATGCTTTGTGTGTATCAAAACTTAAATTAGATTTCAAATGGCATATCCAAATTTGCTGCTAATTCCATTATTAGGGACTCTGCTAATTCCATTATGAGGGACTTTGGCAAACAAAATCAGAATAATGGTTTATGAACAGAAATATCTATCAGCATTAAAAACAAGGGCAGACGAACTGGGAATGACACAAAAATCAAGGCAAAGACCAATCATATCTTGATAATCTAGTATTTCCAAACATCTGCATAATTAGCCTTCCAATTTGTCATCAGATTTCAGTTGTAATTAACTAATTTTCCCCAGGTCTCCTAGAAGCAACGGCATGGAGCCCTTGAATGCAGGGCTAAATGTATCAGGGATGACTTGTAGGAATGTCACAGTGAAACTGCAACAGTCTCAGTGGAAGGGGACCTAGTGCAGCTCCCTGGGACCATGTACTGGGTGCTTACAGTTGTGAGCACAAAAAAAGGACTGCTAAAAGAGGCCATGATTAAGGCACAAAAAAAGGCAAGGTTAGTAGCATCTGGGATTCAATATTTTTGTCAAGATAAATCTCATTTAACTTGCTGAACAATCTGCATATACTTAAATCCATCCACCATTTTTCTGTCAAAAGTAATTTTAAATATTTAAAGAGTATTTGAAGAGCCCTCCCATCCTTGAAGGAGATCTTCACATGTTTTCCCAAGAAGGGCAGCATTAACAGGACTCTAAGGCTCCTTCATTCTTCTCCCTATACATCATTCTCCATGGAAGTATGTCCATGCTACTAGGTTCAAGTAAAACAGAATCCCAGCTAGAGAATAGCTACTTGTGAATAATGATTTTTTTCAGCTGCTGAGATCCAAAAGACATGTAACAGGTCACAACTTCCTTCCACTTCAATGCTTCTTCTAGCGTGAATGGCTAGAAAAAGAAGCATTCACAAGTTACTGGAAGTGGGACAGCACCATGAGATGGCATCATAGTGTGGAGGAACAAGGCTCTTAAGGCGCTCCATCCAGAGAGCAATTTGGGATTAAGAAGATAAAAAGGTGGCTTAAACCACAATAGCTCCACCTCCTGCAATGTGATAAATCTGGGATGCAGCTCTTAGAAGGGTGACTCAAAATGTATCACTCTTAAATTGTCTCATACCGCACCCTGAATTTTTATTTTCCTGTAGGATGACAGCATGTGAAGAGCTAATGAGTAAGATCCCTTTGTGTTGCAGAGGACTGATTCAACAGCAAATACTCAAATACAAGGTTAAAGAGCAACTAATTATTAGTCCAGTTTGGCCAGCTGTCCCACATAATTTCAATTTTGTCACAAAAATTACAGCATAAAGTTAAGATATATTTATTAGATAAAGAAAAAAGAAAGAATGCACTTCCAATTATACAAGTATATATATACAGATATAAAACAAAAAATAATTTATCTGTAACTCAAGTATACATGAACAAGCTTGAAGTTAAAAAATAAATGATCTAGACTGAGCAGGAAATGGGGGGATTTTTATGAAGATTGATAATTCTGGAATATGCAGAAAAAGATTTTATGTCATTCAGATTGTTTACCTTGGACTTCATTTCCTGGCTCAAAGCTATCAAAAGATACAGCAATAATATATGGTGGTGCAGATGTCTGTGGTTCAGCTTCATAGTTTGGTAACAGAGAATCACAATCAATTGAGGTATTTGTCTGTGGATAACCAAGGATTCCAGGCAAAAATATCCCACAGAACAAAAAAACAAAGCAGGAGTGTCTTCTCATCTATGGAATAAAAAGACAATACAGTTCATTGTAACTTCTTTTAAGTAATTGCCACGTTTGGCAAATATTTGCTTTTCTCCAGGACAGGAAATAATGCAAGCCTAGAAAGCTGCTCTTTCTTTGCATTCATGTATTTTGAAGAAAAGAAATTAAAATACTTATATACACTGCCAGAAAAGTGCAATAAGAGACACAAATATTATAATTTAAAAATACTGAATTATTAATGGAAGTTTAAATTTTCAGGTTACATGTCAGCAATCCATTAACAGCCATGTCTGCTGCATTATACCTTTGAACTAGAAAAGTCCTTAAAACAAAGTTCCTCATTGTTGCACTGGCAGATTTAGCTCAGCTCCTTGGCTATGCAAGAACTCAGAGGGAATCCTTGCTCTCTGAAATTGTGGATGTAACCATGATTAGCATGCTCTTCTTTGCTTTCCCTACTCTCGCCTCCAAGGGATGGTCAAGAAATCTAGGTAAATGCCCTAGAGTACTTTTAAAGATTTTCAAAGTCTTTGTTTCCTGAAGGACTTAACAAAAGATTTCTGCAAAGTCCTCTGGAACTTCTAAACAGTTTTAAAATACTAAATTACTACTACATGCTTCCTATTAGTAAAGAATAAACCATAACCAGTACAGAAATCCACCAAAAATAAGAGACAAGACTGAAGTCCAATCTACCAGGACTGACTGTGAAGAAAAAACGTATTTTCTCTATAGTTCACTTGCAGAATTGACAAAGATGATAAACTGTTTCCAAGAAAGAAAGGAAACATTTCCCAATAGTATTCTCAGGTGTTTAATACCAGATTTTCCAGCCCATGCTCAAAGTCTAAACATTCAACTATGACACTACGTAATTTAAAAGGTCATTACATCTTATGAACAACTCACTCTTCCAGCTACAAAATTGCTGATACAACTGTTAAATCTTCAGAAGTATTTAATAATGCTATTTTACATGCTGTCTGCAACAGGATTGCCTCATGTGACACAACACACACAGTAAGAGAAAGAATGGAGATATTTACTTGAGATTTTTTAAAGCATTTCAAGCACAATGTAAGAGATATGTTCAATTTGTACCATCTACCTTATATCTCAATTCATTCATGACTGCGTAATGTAAGATCATTTGGTTTTGTATGTGCTAATGAACGTAAGTAACAGAAGCATCTGGAAGAGGGGAAAAATACACAACTCTGAACATTCATGTACTTAACTCTGAACTTCAACAACTTTTTAAAAAGCCACTTAGTCAACAAATAATAAAGCAGGTTGACTGTGAATTGTTGAAAGATTTCCAAGTAGAATGATGAAGGTTTCCATGGTGTCACAACTACTCAGACCAGCAACCAGGAAAGTGATAGATGCAAGTTATCATGTCTTTAAAGCAGATGAAACCTGTACCTCTCTAAAGCCTCATCAAAGTGTCACTTTAAAGGGATCCTGGTAAGCATCATGTTTTGGTATCAGCACGCTGGGTGCGGTTATCCAATCTCTTGTGACGATTTTGACGTGGCCCACCTCTAATTAAGTTTTAAATACAGCATGTGGGTGCTATTATATCAAGAGATGCGGTAAACAGTGATTTAATATGAACTAGTCTGTGTGTTGTTGAAATCTCTGACTCATAGAGAGGTGGGAAAAAAAAAGTCTGTTTCTAATTAGATGTTCCATTTCAAAATGCAAAGCCCTAGTTTAGCTAGGATTGGAAATTTGTCTGGAACTGCACTCTGCCGTGAAAGAAAGCCAGTCTGAAATCTTTCCTCTTTTTCTTGCTAGAAAAGAGCCAGAAATACAAGTACAACTAGTTGAAACACAGCTGAGATGCCTTCTCTTTGCATTAGCTCTCTGATTTAACAGTTCAAGAGGTAATCTAAGAGCCTCGTCATGTCATCTTTTGGAACTAGCTTTGAGATGAGAAAGAGAGATATTAGCATCTTAAAAAATTCCAAGTCCAGACTTGAGGCAGAAAACTTCCATGGGCTCCAAGATCCAATACATACTCAAAGCAATCATGTTACCTTGTATTACATATTTTACATTTTCTCCATGAAAGATGTAAAGAAACAAAAATTTAATATTTCTAAATAGAAGCATAGGGAATTCTGGCAAATAAACATTATTTGCAAACTTCTACTGGAATATAATTATGAAAAATTAACTATATCCTAAGTTCCTTCATCTGATGGAAATATTCTGATTATTTTTTTATCACAGACTCAAACCTTTCTTCCTATGACTCTACATGACCCTTACCTTTCCAACACCTGAGTTGCTACCTTAAGAATCCTCTTTCATATTTAGCCTAGTATGACTCCAGGCCAACGATTAAATCCCTGAGTGCTAGTTAGCTACTGCTTTCAAAGTCTACTGGACTTGGGAAGAGACACTTTGGTGGTTTGCTCCTCTAAAGCCTTGGGCAAACTTCTGAATAGAGACAAAAGTTGTTTTAAAAGCTTTTAAATATAGAGCATTTACTTAATATGATAAATACCTTTCCATAATTTGAAAAACACAGTCCTTGCAAGCCCATCCTGCCAACAGTTTAAGACTAAGTCCTGTACACCCCTTTCTATTCCCATTCTTTATGAGTATTTTTCTCCTTCTCCTAGATGCTTCTGATGAGCCACAGACTTATTCTTTAGCCTTTGAGAATAAGCATCACCAGTTAGTGTGCACCCTGTCCGCCACATCCCCACCAACACACCTTATCGACCAAGTGCTGATGCGTGGGCATCCTCCGGTCCCTCTGTGGTCAGTGTGGAGGAGCTGCAGCCGGGCAGTGCCAGTGCCCCAGGAAGATGAGACAGAGGAGGCGGAAGGCTTGGCCAATCCGTGCCAAGGTGGGAGCCAGTGCAGCCAATCCGAGCCAGCTGAGCATCTGCCCTGGAAATTGGGACACCACAGGTGGGACTGTCCTGCCCAGAGCTGGCGGTGACAACACACTCCTCACAGGTGAGTCACGCCCCTCTGACCTTTATCGAGGCATCTGGCACAGGCAGGGCTTCTGAAGGCTGGTAGTGTAAACCAGTATGCCGACTAAAATCAAAAAGAATTATGCTATACAAAAACCTCATACCAATATTTCATAAATAATTGTAATAAAATATTCACTATTCGTCTTATTAATCTGTTACCACTGAGACAACAGAGGAACAAATCTGTTCTGCTGCTTTTGCAATTCTGTACTCCTTTTTTCTAGTTGGAAAAGACTTGGAAAATTCTAATGATTGTCATACTTCCAAGCATTTTCTCAAAACAAAACCAGCAAAAATAAGGCTGTTTCTTCTCATCCACCTTGTGGGAAGAATCTGAAGTTATTGCAATTGAACTGCACTCAAAACTAACCTTTTTTGTTTTTACTCTTCAGAAGCATTTTCACAAGGTCTTTACTGAAGATTCAGAGAAGTCCAAAAGCTGAATGATATATAAAATGGAATAGGATATTTTCAGTTGGATGTGATCTACAATTATTTGTCTAGTTCATGCCTGTCCAAATATCTCTAAAACACTGACAGGCCTGGGGCTTTGACCACCTCCCTAGGAAACCTGTTACAGTGCATGACCAACCTCTCAGTTAAGAAATGCTTCCTAATGTCTATTCTGAACCTCCCCCAGAGCAGTTTTGAACCATTCCCACATGTCCTATACTGGACACTGGGGAGAAGACATCAGCACCTCCCTCTCCACTTCCCCTTCTCAGGAAGTTGTGGAGGTCAATGAGGTCACTCCTCAGCCTCCTTTTCTCCAAACTAGACAAGCCCAAAATCCTTTGGTGCTTCTCACAGGACATTCCTTTCAGCCCTTTCACCAGCTTTGTTGCCCTCCTCTGGACACTTTCAAGGACCTTAACAATATGACAGACATTCCTATTTAACCGGGGAATTCTGTGAATCTGAGAGTCCATGGTTAATGGTTAATCTGAGTCTTTAGTAAATGGAAATCCTTTAACCAAAGACTATTCACAAGAACCTTCTTCAATTCCTTAATGTTCATGCATTTAAAATATATTTAAATTCAAAATGTTCATAGAATTTTAAGAATATTAGCTATTTTTAGGATTCAGTATATTTAACTAACTGTATTCTCTTTCAGTTAATTACCTTTAATTAATAAGTAGCATTTTATTTACATTGTTCCATTATGAAATACATTATTTTCTATCTGCTGCTATCCATTGGGGAAGAGATCATAATCTTTCTGCTCTTACTATACCACCAAACTTACCATTAATACCAATGTTATAAATAGCAATGCAAAATCATGCTGCACACCACAAATGCAATAGCATACCAGTAACACCATCAAATAAATTACACAGTAAAGGAATGATAAGTGCTCACACCAGAAACACATAACCAAAGAGATGGGATCTTGCAAATGCATAAGGCAAGACCTCCCTCACAATCAGCTAGGAGATACTGAGAGGTAACCAGAGGGATCAGAACTATTTCTCCAGGCTACTTTGAGTAGCAGTGAATACTCCATGAATATTTGATTTGACAGTCAGATAGATAAATGTCAGGCAATGAATTGCTGTAATCTTGGTAATATGGTTATAAAGAAGCATGGATAACACAAGCAATATGCTTTTGTTGGCTGTAGCACTAATAAAATACTGCTGTGAATAAGCTAGTAAAGACTCGGACCATTAGTTTACAATGTGAGAGTTGTAAACCTGCGTCCCTCTTACACAACACTCTGCTTGCGGTTTATTTCATAGGAGCAGTATTCTCATTGAATCAAATATAGGAGACTGATTCAGTATTCATTTACCTGTACTCCAAAATGCCAGTTTAAAAAAAAAGTCCTTTTCAGGTCTACATACTTGAAAGGACAATTTTGAGATCATAATTTAAATACCAATTGAACAAGTGGTAAACTCCCGACTCCAGTGAAACCATGATTACAAAGTTTGCTATGTACTGAAACTCCTGTGCAGAACAACATTACACTATGTGCACATGGATTTCCCTTGTGCTTGGAATGCCTTCAATGCAAATTCCCGTGGGAATATTACCCTTTTTTTTTTTATCTCTTATTGTGCGTTGCTCATAAGGAGTTAGCTGGTCTTTCTTTAAAATAATCACATTAGATTTGTACCACCAACAGTGGGCCAATTCATTTTAGGAAGAAGCCAAGGAACGTGGCAGAGACCAGAGTACAGAACATTGGAAGGAAGTAAATGCTTACTGGGAAGTGGGTGAAAATTTTAAAGGGCACATGATGGACACAGGGAAAGCCAGCTACTCACATAAACAAAAGACTGTGTCCTTGAATAAAGGACAGAAAACCCTTGCAGAATTTCCAGTACTACTTTGTTTCTACTAAAAGCTGTTTAAAACAAATCAGAGTAAACAGTCCGCTTCCTTCTTCCTCCCTGACATCAGGACCTCCAACAACCTTCATGACCCTCAGCAGCTTTCTGCATGCTCACTGCAGCACCTGAGCTGAAGATTATTTTTAATCTGGCTGTTTTCCTTACAACTGGAAATGTTAGAAAGCCTAAAAAACCTTCAGCTAATGCCAACATACCTATATAAATACTATGGTAAAATAGGTAGTGTTATTTTCATCAGGGTCTGGTATCCTTATCAAATTGCTTTGATGTTTCCCATAGGAGATAGATATACCCCTGAGTCTTGGCCTGTGCAGGAGAATCTGCAAACTCTTTGCTCAGAGACCTCCCATGTGCTGCACACAATGAATGCTGTAACAGTAGCCACTCCAAAATTATTTCAGAGAAAATGTACATAACAAGTTCTCTTACAGATCTGACAATCTACGTGTTTTGTTACGTAGTCCAAACTGACTCTATGGAACAGTAAAAGATATCTTTAACTCCTCTTAAGTGCCAGTTGCCTTCCCAAGCTCTCCCAGTCCTTTTCTTTGTTTCTTCCTTGGTTAAACAGGGAAGGTCAAGAATAATCCCTGCAAATGACAGAAATCAAATTTGTTCTCCTCAAATCTATTTTGACTATTTGAGAAATTTCTGTAATATCCCACATTTCATCTCCAAATTAAAGTGGCTTTCTCAGTATACAGTATTAGTGTGATAAGAGGAGGTTATCATTGCATACTTTCTGTGTATTACTTCAGAGTACTCAGCTGAAGTTATTTTCAAAAACATCTAGTCTAAATTTAGTGGTAAGGATTCTTAGCAGCTGTGTGAGTGGTATCGTAATGATTAAATTAAAATACAGATTTATTTAGCCTTCCTTCAGAACCAAGGCATTGGTTCAACAAGGCATCAACAAGGCATTTGATATGTCTTCTGTCTTATACTAGCATGTTAATATTTACGTCATGTTTCCAAGGACTTAAAGTATTGGCACATTTTTATATTTATAAAGGCACATTTTGCTTCCTATGCTCAAAAAAATTCCTTTCTTAAGAATACATCAACATATGATACAGTAATGTTATATATTGCTCTAGCTATAAATATAGTGTTATTCTTCACAAAAATACTATTACATTAAAAAAATACATTGAAAATACATTGAAAAAGCAAAATAAAATTTACATAGTGTATTCTGGTCTCCTAAGGAAGTATGTTAAATGTCTTCCTGATAAACATAACTCTGATAATTCAGCAAACCACATTTTTCTAGAAAAAAAAAGATATGAAAATTATCCTTTCCTAAGTATTAAAAAATTTCAACTTCTTTCTTTAATGTCTTGTTTTTGTTCATGTTAGCACTTTCGCAGTCTGATTTAAACCCTGCCAACATCAGTGCAATAAATAGATAAATCTATAAATAACAGAATAGTTCACACCCCAAGAGTTCTAGATAGATGATGTCATTCGGAGCCTTACATGAGAATTAGAGAGCAAAAAAAAGGTTTGATTTAACTGGACATAAGAGTAGAAAGGGAGTGATCAAATGGATTACTTCTGCTGAACCTTTTGTGTCCCAGTAGAGATGACTGTGAACAAGACTGCAGAGCTGATGGGTGCCATGCACTTATGTGTTGCTCAGGAGAAACACCTGACATGAACAGCACATACAAGAGCAATGACATATGAACATTGCATCACCTTATCTCATGCATTGTGCAAGCTAACAAGTGGTATTGTCCCTATGTGCTTTTAAGGCGAGTGCCTGGGTGTGGCTGCAAACATATGCAACACTTCATATAAGCCACAGTGACTACCATTTGTTAGTGATTTACCAGACACTATATTCAGATTTAAGTAAGCCTAAACATCCATTGATGGAATGGAGGAAATGATAGTAGAGGGTTCCTGCTAGCAAGATATGCAGTCCACAAGAAAACTGGAGCTGTAATATTAACAATGAAAATTCACTGTTTTCCCAGTCATGGAGAAGATAAATGGTCTCTCTTACATGCGTTACCTACTGCTATTACTGAAAAATTCTCTTTGACTGTAATTTGTATTTCTAGATCCAGAATACTGCAAGTATCACTGCAATATGTTTACAGGCTATTTCGAAGTCCCTGTGGCCTAGAGAATTCTCCTGCATAGTGGGGTTAAGGCAGTGCACATCTATGGTCCACTCTAGAGTGAGCAGCTGGGATCCAGACATGTAAGTTCAGCTTTAGAGCTTCTTCCAATCCAACAGTACAGGATCAAAACCAGCATAGATAAAGGACACAAAAATGAATTGTTTAAACTCCCTTTGCTGATTTACACCCAGTCATTGAAAAATTTTGGCTGCTTAGGCTAACTGAATTTTGGCTAACTTGGGGGACACATCATTGCATGTCTGTAACAGATACCCATGAGACCTGCACCACCGTGTGAT